GACCTGATCACCTCTTTAAGGCCCCACCTCCCAACACTGTTGCATTGGGGATTAAGTTTCCAACACACGAACTTTGGGGGACGCATTCAACCATAGCACCATTTTAGCAACTGGGCTATTCTGTTCTCACTGCCTCAGGAAAAGTATATTATAAACAAACACAAAATCTAAAAAGACAGGCGTCTGCTTCTGGCATTTGTGCTTTCATACAGGTGCCTTTAAGAACAGAAAGGACACATACCATAGACTTAGATTCAGAAGAATTTTGTAAAGGAAGCAAGGTTCTCCCACCAATCCAAGGATACATTAAAACATCAAAGGGACCAAGAGTGTGTGGCCTGTAGCCAGTGAGATCTTCCCTTTAACAGCTGCCCAAGTATTTGACCTCCCTCATTGTTCTGGAAAGCACCCCGTTTCTTCACACCCCAAAACTTTGTTTGGTCCCATTTGATTCACTCTATGTGGAAACATCCTACAATATGCCGGGTTTTGATAGACCCCTAAGAGGAAGGGGGGTCACTGGTGACCCAGTTGGGCAGAGAGGGAGGAAGGGGAAGCCTCCACATCTGTTCCTGGGTGTGGATGAACAAACTAAGCAGGAGAGTGAGCTCCTTCCCCTTCCAAGCCCCACCACCTAAGTGTAGATTAAGTGGCTCTACAAAGCATCACCTCCCAGCAAATTGGGGAAAGTTTGCAGTTCACTCCCAGGAAGAGACGCCATGTATAGAGCATGCTGAATACTCCTGAGCCCTGCACAGTGGTGGCCTTGTCCACAGACAGCAACTTGCCTCTCAGGCCATCTTGCTCACACACAGATGCACACGCTATGTCAGCTTGTCTCCCTTTGCCCCTTTTGGTTGTTTCAGCAAACTCTCCCATTTTCCCAATGGAAACATACACATAACCAGTTGCACTAGGGGATACAATACTACATGTTAAGGCTACCCTTCAAGCCTATGTGTAAAGCCCACTTCAGAGGAAAAAAAGAAGTAGAGTTCAAGTTTGGAGGAAAAACATACGAACTAGGGACCTCACAAATTGAAACTTGAAACAAGCATAAGAATTTATTGCTGTTAGGTTGGTTGTTCCTACATATCTTGACCAATGTTTAATGCAACCTAAAAGCAAAATAAAAAGTAAATTTGCTTTAATACAATTAGAACTGCCAAAAAGGACAAGCCAAAGAAAACAGAGTTTAGGTAATTTCTTTGTGACTATGGGAATGAAGCCAAGAGTTTCAGACAATTTCAAATAATATTAAAGTAGAATGTGATCATAAATTATGCTTTCAAGGTAGTTATTATTCCATCCCTTCTTCTATTTCTCTTGCTATGCTTTCTCATTCTTCTTAGATTCTCTTCCTGTGGCCACCCCTTAAACATTGGGATCTCTAATGGTTTCTCCCTGAGCCCCCAGGCCTGCACACACTGCACACTCTCCTAGGTATTGACTCACTCCCCTTGTATCATCTATCACATATGGCCATGACTGTTGAATTTATATCTCCTGTCTGGGCTCCCTTCCTGTCCTCTAGGCCCACAGCATACGTCAACTGGTCTTGGCCATTTTCACCTGCATATCTCAGAGCTCCCACAAAGGCAACATCTTTGCAACTGAACCCATCATTTTCAAAAAACTACTTCCTCTTCTAATGTTCATCAACTTATCACATGGTAACACTCATAGCTCATTTGCTGAGGGAAGGAATTTGGGATCTCTCCTGACCCCTTCTCCCTTATCCTGTGAGCCGATCTCAAATCCACTCAGTTCTCTCTGTCTCTGCTTGTCAAACCCTGGTTGTCTTGCAAGTGGATGACCACAACCACCATCTAAGTGGATTCCCTTTTCCATTCCTGCCCCTCTCCAATTCTATCTCCACCTTATAAAAACACAGATCAAATCCTTAAATCCATTCAATAACTACCAAGGCACTTAAGTCCAAAATCCCTAGCAACACATGGACCCAGCATGACCTGGCCTTTCTCCACCTCTCCAGCTATAAATCACACCTTTCTCCTGACTCCATGCAACCCAGCCACAATTTTGACTATTTCAGTCCCTTGAAAACATCTTGCTCTCTCCTTCCTCTGGGCTCATCTCGGGCTAATCTCGAGCTTCACTTCTTCTAGAAGATTCATCCAGACTAGATCAGGTCTCCCTCTCTGTCCCTCAGAGCACCTATCCCACTGGCCCATGCCCTCAGTGATTTTGCACTGTGACACATCATAGCAGACATTTAATAAAAATGTATTCACAGCAGACTAGCACCAAGTCCACCCAGCTCCATGTTCTGAACAGCTCTTGAAAACACCACTAGCTGCAGGCTGTCTATGTCTTGTTTCTCTACATTACTACCATGGCCTCCTAATTGGTCTCAGACCAACTTGTCCTCTCTCTTCGCCTGCCAGATGGTCTTTCTAACATGCAGTTCTGAACATATCAGCCCCCTAAACAGGAATTGCAAGTCCTTACTTGGTCTGGTCCCTGCTTTCTCCCGGCCTCATCCCACAACCCTCCCTGCTTCACTCCCTCCAGAACACCTCCTCTCTGCTCTCTGCCCGGAACACCATCCTCAGCCTCCCACGCCACCACTCAGTAACAGGTCACTGACTTTCTCTGGGAAGCCTTGACTGTGCCAGCTGCCCTGCCTTGTCAGTGCACACTGACTAAAGTCACCCACTCTACACTCCTGCCACCACAGTCCTGGTTTACACCTGCTGGTATGGCTCAATTGTTAATATTCTCCTAGCATCCTCAAAAACACACCAGTCTGGACAATAAATTACCTGGTCACTCTAACAATGACTATTAAATGCTTGTCTAATTGTCTGTTCCCTGCCCTACAATGTATAAGACTGCCTTATTCACAACACCATTGGGCACAGTGCCTGGCACACAGAGGACATGATATGTTTGTTAAGGAAACAAATGTACTTATATACTATAAAAGCATGCACTGTCATTAGGATATTTATTTGGTCCTAGGGTTTGCTACTGAGAAATGAAATGGTAGCTCCCCCCGTCCAAATTTAAAGATTATATATTTCACACATGATTTTAAGAACACATTTTGGGCGAGTTTTGCAAGTTTCAGGGCCTAAATTTTAGATACAGATATGCCAGTGACACATGTCACAAAAAAGCAGACTGTCAGTTAGGAATATGGTCAGCAACCAGGGAACTGGTTCAGCAAGAGGCTCATTTGTCACACATCCTTGGCCTCATTTTCCCTAGGCTTTACCTAAGTCTTTAAAAAATCTGATTTTTACAAAACCTTTTGATACTTACATCAGATAACACTGGCTCATCAAGTTCTTCCACTCTGCTCAAGTTAGGTGCTCCATATCGATCACTGATTTCAGCCAGTGTTTTGCTTGAGTCTTGTATTGCCTCCTACAATCAAAAAATTTATTTTCCCTTTTAAATGCTTTCACAATATTGAGCCAAGCACAGTGGCTCAAACCTGCAACCATACCACTCTGGGAGGATCACTTATGGTCAGGGGTTTGAGACTACGCTAAGCAAGAGTAACACCCTGTCTCTACAAAAAATTAAAAAATTAATTGGCTGTGGTGGTGAATGCCTATAGTTCTAGCTGCATAGGAGGCTGAGGCAGGAGGATCACTTGAGTCCAGGAGTATGAGAGGTTGTAGTGGGCTATGTCGATGTCACTGCACTCTAGCTGGTGAGACTCTCTCAAAAACAAAAATCACCTTCACAATTAATGTATGACTTTTCTTTCAATTTTGTAAAACATTTCTAAATTACATCAAAATGCAGCATTGCTAATTAATGGAATTAACCAATACCTGTTAATGACAAGAGAATTCTAGGAATAAATGCTAAAACTTATAAAAATACGTGCAAAAATTCAAAATACTTATAAGTGATTATATATTGAGTATCTCGCGATATTCTAGTTTTTAAGAATACAAACATAAAATGAATGTCCAATTGTTATTCCCTTTGAGATTTTGCTTCAAAGCACATATTTATGACTTGTTATTATTACTGGAATATATATTTAGACTAGCTGTTTTTATATCCTTATTGAAAATTTAGCTACTAATGCATCAAAATTAAGCTTTACATTCCAGAATACTCATTCATTTCACGTAACAGAGAATGACTTTTTCTTCTCACCTCTGAATGAGAAGCATCTTCACTCTTACCCATATTTTCCATATTCATTTTCATCTCCTTTAATATATAAAAATGAAAAAATATTTAGAATATGCTTCATTTTGATTCCATGTTTAATTTTTAAGCATTTTTATTTTTACATAATGCCATGATCAATTGAAAACAAAAATGCTATCACTCTGTGAGGAGTGATATGAATAAACTTATCACAAAACTGCAGATCACAGCCTTATTTAATACTCTATACTAATAGAAGATACTGTTTTATATGTAAAATTTATAAAACTTTTTAAAAATAAAATGGACTGAAACATTTCAACTGAAGCCAAATTATCAGCAAATGGGAAAAGTGGCAAAATAAAAATTCGAATACATTGTTAGAAGAGGAGATTTTAAAGAGAACTTAGAGTTGAGTTTTGCACATAGTAAGAAAGAATATTTTTGAAGGCACTAATCCGGCCCAAGTCACTACCAAATGCATAAATCTTCTCCGTCGTACCTGAGCACTGCCCTCTACGACACTCTGAACAGTACAGTAGCAATGTCCTGCCCAGAAGGGCAGGCCTCTTTCTGAGTGTGAAGATGTTCCTCTAGCCAAGCCAAGCCTTGGGGCACCCATCTTTTCACTCCAGGGCAGCCGGGTGATCTAACTGATCCTGAGCTGATTTGTCTGGCTGTTGGAAGATTAGTGATCTCGTGATCATACATATGACCACCCTAATTGCAGGGACATATATGGTACTGTTTTCCCAAGACCAGTCCATTATTCTGGTAACTTCTTTTTTTTTTTCACCCCCACGTAAGAAGGGTACTGTGCTGTAAGTTGCAGCAAGGTTTGAGGGCTGCGCATCTCACGCATGCGCGTGAAAAACCAATCCACGCTCAGGAACCACAAAAGGATCACCTGGTAACTTCTTATCCCCATATCCACAGGCTACAGTAGGAACATCAATGTTCTGATAGGATAGATAATGTACCCCAGCCACAAGGATGGATATTTCACACAGACTAAACTGGTCAGAATCCTTCCCCAAGATTTTTTTCTTAACTGAAGCCAAAAAATAGAATCCATGCCTCTTAGATTACCGTAGGAGCCACAGCGCTGCGAGTCTCGGGAGCCATGAAGGACCACGTTTCTCCCCATGTGAGGCGAACCAGCCACTCTGAGAGAGACTGAGACTGACCTCTAGAGGGCAGCAGAGGCGAGAGCCTGGTCGCATCTGATTCTCTTGCTCCCAAAGCTCTGGAAGGCCCAATTGTACCAAGAGTCCTTCACAGCGTACATGTTGAACTCTTTCTTCAAACCAGGATCCTTCAAGTGAATTTCCTTTTGCAAGTGATATCTAAGTTGTGTGTCAGCAGCCACAAGAAGGCCAAGGCAAAAGACATGAATGGACTTATCTCTGAGCAATGGGTGAAGCAGGGGTACTGTGGGCGGGGGACAGGGAGTAAGGGATGATAAGCCAGTGGGAATGTGAATCATTAAAGTCTGTGACTCTGGTCATACAGGCTGATGATGCCGGGAGATAATGAAATAATATGAATGCAACACCCTGGAGCCGCAAAGCAGAGACTGATCCTTCCTATAGACTTCTAAGCATTCAAATATAGCTATCAGGTCATCTAAAAAAAAAAATACTTTAAATTTCCTTATTTTGATCATTGTCTTCTTGACACATGTTCCTGTTTTTCCTTTTCTTTTTCAACTTAGGTAATTGAATTGTTTTAATTTTTATGAATACATAGTAGTTGTACATATTTATGGGGTGCATGTGATATTTTGATAAAAGCATACTGTGTATAATGATCAAGTCAGGGTAATTAAGATATCCATCACCTTAAACATTTACCATTCTCTGTGAATTTTAATGAAAGAGAAAGAAGATTCTTAAATGTGTGTGTCCGTATGTGCATATCCATATGCTCCGGCTACACTCAGACTAAGAAAACATCAACATTTGTACTTTTCAAAACTATGTATAGGGCTTCAATTTATCCTTTAAAATCCTTTTTTAAATTTAATTCACCTTCACACTTTTAAAAATTGCTTTAAATAATGATGCTCTCATCTAAGCATTAATAAACATATTGAACATATTCTGTAAAACCTGCTTGCTTTTAATTTTAATTTTCTTTTTCCAATTTAATGAAATAAATAATGGGAGCATCATTTGAGTAAGAGATATTGGCTATAAACTCAGTCAACCAGATGTTTAGTCTATATGACATATACCTTTTGGATACCAGGGAATACTGGTCAAACTAGAGGCTTCACAGTATATAGACAAAATCGATGAAGATGGGCTTTTTAGAAATAAGTTACTGCATAGTTTATTTTAATGAAACGCATGAAGAATCCAAAAATATGTTTAAAAACATATTTTTAAATGTAAATCATTATTAATACATCTAACATGAAGAGATGTACTATTGTCTCAGAGATCAGAATATCCTCAATATTACAAAGAACTCAAACTTCAACACCAGCGACCATCATTAAGAACACCTAACTTTTGACTAGAATGTTGAGGGTATCACTATTAGAGAACTCTACTGCTCACAAAGAAGTTTCACATACATGATCACACCTGATCATCACAACAATCCAATGAGATATTGTGATAACATTATCCTGCTATCCCTAATTTCCAAACAGGGAAACCAAGAAGGAAAAAGGTTACTAATCTGTTTAAGATACACAGCTAATGTGTAACAGGTCTTTAGATTGATTATGAAGTCTATGATCTTTCTGCCATAATAGCTGGAAGAAACAGGTTGAGGATTCTAAGAAGTTTTAAATAAAATAGACATTTATAAAACTTCAAATTACCTTCTCTAATTGTTCTTGAGCTCTCCGTTGTTCTTCTAGTCTCTGTCTCTCTTTTTCTTGCATTTCCAACTCCATCTGTATTGCCAGCTGTTGCTGAATATTCAGAAATACATGTCATATTATATAGTCAAATTAATTGCAAGATAATTAAGTTTATAACCACCTAATTTAATAAACTTACAAAAATAAATGATCACAGCCACCTAATTCTCTAGGTTTCTGTCAATGCTTCCTAAAGCACAAAATTTTAAAAAGGAAGCTTCCTTAATTGCTAATTGTAGGAAGTATAATTTGTACAAAATCAAGTCATTTTTCTCTGTTCTTCCTGAAGTTAAAAATGAGATTACAGGAATTTTCTCAGACAAAATCTCTTTAAGCATAGATGGGTCTTCATATAGCCAAACGTTGGTTGTAGAACAGTGGGTCAGAAAATCTTAAGAATATTATCTGAAATCATGGATAACCAACAATGTATTTGGTCCCAACTCAATATATATGTCACACTGGTAGGGGTCAGCAATAAAGTCTGTTTTTGTACAGTCCATGAGCTAAGAAAGGTTTTTATAGTTTTAAATGGTTGGAAAAAATCAAAAGAATAATGTTTCATGACATATAAATATTATAATTTCAAGATAATGTCCATCAAAAAGAGAAAGAAAAATAAAAGAGATAAAAATAATAGTATATTAAATTCAAATTTCAGTATCCTTAAAGTTTTACTGAGACAAAGCCATGCTCCTGTGCTTATGTACTGTCTACTGTCTATCTCTGCTTTTGCACTATAACAGCCGAGTGGAGTAGTTGCAACAGAGACCATACATGGAGGCACTGTCATCGCTTTGCCCTGCTGCTCAGCACACTACAAATTGGTGACATCAGTACAACGTTTGTAGCGCTACACTATCACTATACTCTGACGTTTTAAAAATTATATTCATCATATCGAAACAAAAGGTGAACTCTGTCCCACTTTTAAAGCAAAATGGAGTGTAGATTATTTTGTTATCAAATTAAATGGCAAAATATGGCTTTTATTATACAATGACACTGTGCTAAAAGAATACAATAAGCATCAGCATTACCAGACTAAGCACTCATTACAATATTGCCAACTCACATGGAAGCAAAGGTCAGAAAAATTAGAAAATTTAAAACAGAATTATCACAGAAGAATTTCTTCACAAAAATTAAAAATGAAAGTAAGGCTGCAACAGAAGTAAGCCTCCAAGTAGCTGATGTGTTATCCAAGCAAGGAAAGACATTTACCAATGGTGAGTTAATTAAAACATGTTTGATTTCAGTGGCCAAAAAAATGTGTCAAGAAAAAACTAAGCTTGTTTAAGATTTTAGCCTTTTGGTGAGAACATTTGTTCAAAGAGTTGACATTGGGAACATCGATAATCAATAGAAAAGAAGGCAAATGATTTTGAGTGGTTTTCCTTGGCTCTTGATGAGTAGGCAGATGTTCCCAACACTGCTCAGTTGTTTATTTAAAGAGTTGATGCTGAGTTTGAAATGATTGAGGAACCAATCTCTACAAATAGTCCTCATAAAACAATTGCAAACAAGAATATTTTCAAGGAAGTTGAGCAACACTAATTTAATACAACCGAAGTGAAATCTGCTAAGATGTGTTATAACCAATGTTGATTAAAAAAAAAAAAAATGTTCCCAGTCTTGGGAATGTCTGTAGTGGCTCACGCCTATAATCCTAGCACTCTGGGAGGCCGAGGTGGGAAGACTGTTCAAGGCCAGGAGTTTGAGACCAGCCTGAGCAAGAGCAAGACCCCATCTTTACAAACAATAGAAAAATTAACCAGGCATGGTGGTGCATGCCTGTAGTCCCAGCTAATGGGGAGGCTGAGGCAGGAGGATTGCTTGAGCCCAGGACTTTGAGGTTGCAGTGAGTTATACTTGCACCACTGCACTCTAGACAGGGCGACACAGTAAGACCTTGTCTCAAAAAGAAAAAAAAAATGTGTGGAATAGAAAAAGGATGACCCGAGCAAATTTACAAACTTATGAGAAAATAGAGTGTTTAAAGCCTGTGAGTATTCATCATATTATTCAACAGCAGCTACTCTACAGAAAATATTTGAATCTGTCATGTGTTACTGAGCCAGTATTGTCAACCCTGACCTTCATTCACTCTTGTAAACTTGACCATCATCAGTTCTGTGAACTGCTGTCAGAAAAAGAAGCTGAATGTATCCTAACTTGTCCTACCACACAGCAGTTCCACGACTTAACAGTGGTAATGTTTTATTGTGAAGTTTTGAGCTCACGGCCAAGTTTTATTTTTTCATTGTGTAAATTTAAGGTATATACAGCATGATGTATATGTATACAGACATATATATAAATATAAATATATATATACAGTTAAAGGATTACTACAGATAAGCAATTTAACATACCCATCATTTCACACAGTTACTTTTTTATGGTAACAGCACCTAAAACCTACTTTCTTTTTTTTTTTTTGAGACAGAGTCTCGCTTTGTTGCCCAGGCTAGAGTGAGTGCCGTGGTGTCAGCCTGGCTCACAGCAACCTCAATCTCCTGTGCTTAGCAATCCTCCTGCCTCAGCCTCCCAAGTAGCTGGGACTACAGGCATGTGCTGCCATGCCCAGCTAATTTTTTGTATATATATTTTTAGTTGGTCAATTAATTTTTTTCTATTTTTGGTAGAGACCGGGTCTCGCTCAGGCTGGTTTCAAACTCCTGACCTGGAGCAATCCACGCGCCTCAGCCTCTCAGAGTGCTAGGATTATAGGCGTGAGCCACTGCCCCTGGCCTTGTTGAAGAGACTATCCTTTCCCTATTGTGTCTTTTTACAGGCCTTGTTGAAAACTGACTGTATATGCTTGGGTTTCTTGTCTCTTTATTCTCTTCAATTGTTCCATGTGACTGTCTTTATGCTAGCACCATATTGTAGCTTTGTGATATAATTTTGAATCAGGTAGTGTGATGCTTCCAACTTTGCTTTTCCTTCTCAGGACTGATTTGGCTATTCAAGATCTTTTGTGGGTCTATATAAATTTTAGAATTTTTCTCTACTTCTGTGAAGAATGTCATTGGAATTTTTGTAGGGATTAAGTTGAATCTGTAGATTGCTTAGGTTGTATAGACATTTTTAAAAATCTCAACTCTCCCAATTGCTGAAGACAGAATATCTTTCCATATATTTGTGTCTTTAATCGTTTCATAGTTTTCAGTGTATAGATATTTCACCTCCTTGGTTAAATTTATTCCTATTTTATTCTTTTTGATGCTATCTTCAATGGAGTTGTTTTCTTGACTTCTTCAAATATTAGTGTACTAGATTTAAATTTTTCTTAATGAGAAGAACCACTCTCAACCACTATTATCAAACATTAATGGCTTTGGAAATAAGCTTTTGCTGCATACTTGATTATGTTTCTTAATTCCACCTAATATTACAAGACAAAACAGCACTCATATGTAAAACTTACACTGCAGTGATGTTACCTCAATAACTCACATTTTTTGAATCACAAGTAATGTCAAGCTGCTTTACACACTTCCAGTGCTGTCACACACTAAAACAAGATATTAGATCTCCATTCCCACAGAAATTGGCAATGGATGTATTTTCTAATCTCAAGCTATAGTTCTAGAGTGTGTGTTAAGCCTCAATGTAAGTGAAAAAGAAATCCCCATATTTCAAAATCCATTTAACTGTGCAGTTAAGAAGCTTCCACCAACTTTCAATTGGAAGTGATTAATCTATAATACAAGATAATGACACGTTAAAAGGCAAATATCAAGACAAAAATCTAATGGAATTCTACAAATGCCATTAAGAGATGAATGTGCTCGATTTAAATTATATGCATACAGACTTATGTCATCATTTGACAGTGCCTATCTGTGTGAAAAGACATTTCAAAGATGAAATACGTAAAATCTCATTCTAGATTAGCATTAACAGATAAATATTTTCAATCAATTTTGATGATAGAGAACACTAATTTTAAACTCCAACTAAGCAAAAAGTTATCTTTTTTAAAAAAAATGTAATTCTCAGCCAGGCTCAGTGGCTCATGCCAGTCATCCTAGCACTCTGAGAGGAAGAGGCACGAAGATCATTTGAGCTCAGGAGTTCGAGACCAGCCTGAGCAAGAGTGAGACCCCTCTCTCTACTAAAAATAGAAAGAAATTAGCTGGACAACTAAAAATACACAGAAAAAATTAGCTGAGAATGGTGGCGCATGCCTGTAGTCCCAGCTATTTGGGAGGCTTGAGGCAGTAGGATTGCTTGAGCCCAGGAGTTTGAGGTTGCTGTGAGCTAGGCTGATACCACGGGCACTGTAGCCTGGGCAACAGAGCAAGACTCTATCTCAAAAAAAAAATTAATTTTCAATAGTAAGCCTGTATTACAAAAAAATTATATCCAATTATTATTATTTGATTTCATCAATAAAACATTTGTGGTAATTTGTTTTCTCTCTTTCTGTACCTACATAATATACCATAACACCTACATAATTTCCTCAATTTTGCCTTTTGGCCTGCAAAACATAAAATATCTACTATCTGACCCTTTACAGAAAGAGTCTGCCAGTTCCCAAGCTACAAACTAATTTCTCACCACCAGTCCAGCACCATCTCATAAATAAGCTAAGCTCATCCCATTAAGAGCATTTTACAACTACATTTTGTAATCATGCATATTTTAAATAATACATTTTTACAAATAGATAATACACAGTGATCAATATTTTATTTACAAAAGGATTTTAATATTAATTTCTTGGTATTCCTATATTATCCCCACTGAGATAAAAGTGATGGATAAAGTAGCTAAAATGCAGAAACAATATCATTCAATCATCCATCAGACATTGGTAGAAGAAATGAAATAATCCCAATCTTTCAACAGTAATGCAAAGTGCAGTTGTTAAATACCAACCAGATTGGTCAAAAATAACCAGTTTCTTAACATTTTCAGGAAATTTTCAAAACCCAATTCCTTTCTTCACACATAAGGAAAACCACTAGAAAGCCATTCAAACAAATTAAAAAAAAAAAAAAAAAAACCTTTTACTTCAATAATAAGCTCTCACATAGAAAATTGCAATGACAGTACTTCCCTGTTCCCAAGAAGCTAGGCTTGCTGGAGCGCGCCTGAAATTCCCAGGCATTGCCCATTGGCAGTACTGATTGTGAGGGCAGCTGCTCTTGCAGCCAGCAGGGAGGTGAGCAGCGTCCCCAGCCTCTGCTCTCCTATGCAGCACAGCAGACTCTGGGAGGCCTCCCTGTTTCTCTTCATCTCAGCCTCACTCTCAAGCCCTTCTCTGTTGGTTGGTCTCTCCTTCTAGCATCTATTTCTGCCCACGAATCTACTTCTTTAACAGGCCATAAATTCTTCTGCAGAATATTATTTTATCTTCCACTCTCCAATTCAATACTTAGGGTTCAATGCACAGCAGACTAGTTCATACGGGTCAATATAAGATGGCTAGAGAAATGTTTGATTTCTAGTATTAACAAATTATATGTAAGTAAGATTTAGTAGATGAGTCAAAGAAAGTTAAGTATCTCCCCACGTGTGATGTAATTGTCTTGGCAAAGGAGAACTGCTGAGAAATCTTATTCTGATAGACAGAGGACAGCTACTAGCCATAGGAACTATAGGAGGAAGGACAGATCCTCATTCAAACTTGCAGCTGCTGCAGTAGACACCTTGCCTGTTTGGATGAGAGTCTGACACTCAACACTTTGCAATCTCCCCTAAAGAATAAGCCAGGCTGGGCACAATGGCTCACACCTGCAATCCTAGCATTCTGGGAGGCATAGGCAGAAGGATCACGGGAGGTCAGGAGTTCGATACCAGCCTGAGTAAGAGCAAGACCCCCGTCTCTACCAAAAATAGAAAAAATTAGCCAGATGACTAAAAATAGAAGAAAAAATAATTAGCCAGGTATGGTAGTGCACACCTGTAGTCCCAGCTACTTAGGAAGCTGAGGCAGGAGGATCACTTGAGCCCAGGAGTTTGAGGTTGCTGTGAGCTAGGCTGATGCCACAGCACCCTAGCCCGGGCAACAGAGTGAGACTTTGTCTCAAAAAGAAAAAAGAATAAGCCAAATGACTGAAAATGAAGACTCAGATGTGGCAAAGTTTTCAACAGTCCTATCCATCTAAAGTGCCTAGAATTTTCTACTTCAGTATCAAGGATAAGAGATTAGGCAGAGAAGCTATTTGCCATGTCTATATTTTTCTTTTTTTCCAAACATCTAAATAATAGACTTCTTTCTCTTTTTTAAATGTGCGGACTCAAGTGAAGACTCAAGCATTAAGTACTATATGCTAGAACTCTAGAGGTGGCTTAAATTTAGTTCAAAAGCTCTCTATAAAGTAACTTAGTCCAGAAGCCACTCTGGAACTTTCCCCTATTAACATATACTCTGTGATCCATCCCTTCATCCATTCCATTACCCACATCTTCAGCTCCCCAATCCTGCTAACCCAGACCTACATCAGCCCAAGGGCCTGCCTCTCCCCATCTGCACTCAGATATCTAGGCCTAAGTGAACAAAATCACATAATCACACAGCCAAGCCAAATGGCACCAATTGTGAATACTTAGTCTCCAGCTGCTACCAAGTAATGGCAAGTTTCCTCAGTCAGCTCTCCCTTCCCTTCTCTAAAGCCGCCACTCCAAACCTTCACCCCCTTCCCCACCTCCTACCTTACTTACTGCCTCATTCTTCACAGATGATCATGATCCCTACTTCATAAAGAAAACAGTCACACAGAAGCGGCTCCCAATTTTGTGCCACGAAGCCTACATACCCATGTTACCCGCTCCTCTTTCCTTCAGTTATAATTAAAGAAGTGCCCTTCCACCTGCTGAACCTACGATGCAGACCCCATTCCTTCTGATCTCCATGGAGAGCTGACTCTGAATCTTCCCCTCCATTTCCTAACGTCAGTCACTTCCCCTTACTGTGCTCCTAAATCAAAACAAACACAAAACCATCTCTCCTTCCCCTCAAGATCTCCTAGAAAACACTGCCTTCACTTTCTATCTCTCCAGCTTACTCTCACCCCACCTCACGCTCCACCCACCCTGCTCCTGCTCCCGCCAAATTAAAGGCTGTGAATGAGCATTTTGCAGTTCAGCAACAGATACAGTGGGCCACTGGTCTCACTGAAACACTCTTTCCCTTTGACTTCTGTGACAGCACACCCTGTGGGTTTTCCTCTCACCCAAAGGCCTGTTACCTTTTGTGTTAGCAGCAGTGGTGAGGAAAGAAATGTGTATACATAAGTATAGTCATAAAACCTCACTGCTGCCGCTTCTCCAGCAAAGAAGACACCACATCCACAAAGGTGAAGACATTAGAAAGCCACATCTAAGTAACCAGAGCTGGGGAGTTTTTCAACATTTGGGTTGTGCCACACTGAGGTTGGCATCACTAATTCCAGTCACCTCTGAACTCTCTCACTTGTCTTACCTGCTGAAACAAGAGCTCCTCTGCTTTGAGCCTCTCCATCATTTCCTGCTCTATCAGAGCTACTTCTCTTTCATGCTCCAAATCGGCCATTTCCTTTTGTCTCTAGCATTGTTTAAAAACAATAGCACATGACTTGTTAAAGATAAAACGATTTATAAAAAAAAAAAAACGGTCTTAACATCTTCATCACCAACAGGTTAAGCAAATTATAGTCTATCCATATGGAAACTATATAATAATTTGGGAAGATATGTGTTTTGTCTGAATAAAGAGCACAAAATTAAAATTATATATTACGTATGATCACAAGTAGGTAAAAAATAATTTATAGATGAATGTGTGAAAAAAGTCTATGCATAGAAGAAAATACCTAAAAATCTAAATAGAAGGTTTCTTTAACTATTGTTTTCTCTTTTCTTTTTCATGTTTATATAATAAAGATTATTTTTATAATAGAAAAATAATAATACTGAATTTTTTTAAAAAGCAGACAATTTGAGACAAATTGGGTCAATTATTTTACTCTTCTGATTTCCTAAAAGGAGATTCATGCTTACCAATTGTTCCATGGCCATGTTTTCCTTATACTTGTAAATCCACAGTGCTAAATATTCTATAGGATCCACTGGGCGAGCTTTTGCCACTTCTGCAAGACCTTGAGTTAGACATACCCCAAGGTGCTTTTGAAGATATATCGACTCCATCTATGACTTCCAAATAAAAACTTTTAAAAATAAGTGTTTTACATTAGTGCAGGAAAATTTCAACTAAGGCACAATAGGAGTAAACTCCAGGGAGGTTGACAAAGCATTACACTCTATCACTAGTTATAGGGATCCCCGTTAGCAATGGCACAAGCAACCTAGCCCTGGGAAACTTCTCACAGTTTCCAAAAGGGCTCCACAGAAGTCACTACAACTAAAATAGTTTCAAAACCCTGAAGGGCTCTCAAGTCCAAAAGTCAGGAAAGAGATACTGTCATTACTGATTGCAAGATGACTTTATGCCAAGCAATGGGTGTCTCACTGAATCTCACAACATACCTGAAAAATGGGTAGCATGATCCCCAGTGGACAGATGAGGAAGAAATGTGCACTAAAAGAATAAGTACACATTCAGGACTGCACAGTGGACAGACAAAGGAGGCAGTTTGCACTCACCTCTTGATTCCAGAGCCCCAACATGACTATACTAACAACTATACTAATGACTAATGAGCCCCTAATGACTATACTAAGATGCTCCTCCTAAGCCTTGACAGCCATTTTTACAAAACATCAAGACAGTCCACCTTAAAAAAAAAAATCCATGAATTTCCAAGGCCAAAAAATAAAAATTCAGCCTCCAAAGAGCACCATATGGCCGGGCATGGTGGCTCACGCCTGTAATCCTAGCACTCTGGGAGGCCGAGGCGGGCGGATTGCTCAAGGTCAGGAGTTCAAAACCAGCCTGAGCGAGACCCCGTCTCTACTATAAATAGAAAGAAATTAATTGGCCAACTAATATATATATATATAAAAATCAGCCGGGCATGGTGGCGAATGCCTGTAGTCCCAGCTACTTGCGAGGCTGAGGCAGGAGGATCACTTGAGCCAGGAGATTGAGGTTGCTGTGAGCTAGGCTGATGCTACGGCACTCATTCTAGCCTGGGCAACAAAGTGAGACTGTGTCTCAAAAAAAAAAAAAAAACCAAAAACAAAAACAAAGAGCACCATATGAAGCTCCTCACAATCTGGCCCGAATTTTCTTTCCAGGTTCACCTCCAGACATCTCTCCTGCTCCGACACACCCGGGCTCTGGCTCCACTGCATATCCTGCCATTCTGCTGATCACGCCTTGCATCTTCACGACTCCATACATGATAATCCCTCACTCTCAACTTGGAAAATATCTCCCCACCTACAAGGGGTAGATCATTTCTCATTCCCTGAGCTTTCCCAGGCAACCCAAAGAAGTTCCTTCTTTTCCAAGCAGCTCACACGGCACTTGTCCCACTATATGAGAATTATCTGTGTGTGTGTGTCTGTCTGTCTGTCCTCCCACTAGAAGACAAGCTCCTCCAGCTTCTTGAGGAGTGTTTTTGTTTTTGTTTTCTTGAGGCAGTGCCTTGCTCTGTTGCCCAGGTCAGAGTGCAGTGGCATCATCCTAGCTCACTGCAACCTCAAACTCCTGGGCTCAAGCAATTGTGAGAAGTGTTTTTATCACAGGTCTGACACAGCTATCTCTCCAGGGTGGCAAGTGAATGAGTTCCTCCCCTATCTCAGTTAAGTTCCAGTCTTTCTAATTATAAAGATAGGAATAATCTTAAGGCTAGACTGTTTTTAAAAAAAGAAAAAAATGTAGCAACCACTATATCTCATGTGCCTTGAAAAAAACTAATCACCCTCAAATTCCCCTTAATATTTTATGAAATTCAGACTCTTCTGAGAATCTGATGACATGTATTCAATTATTCAACAAATAACTTTAATATGTCAGGCACCAGAATAGCTACTGGGAATACAAAATTATCATGGATTTAATATTTGTGTCCCCTGTCTGCAAATCCATATGCTTAAATCCTAACCCACAATGTGATGGTATTAGAAGGTGGGACTTTAAGGAGGTAATTAGATTATAAGAGTGGAGCCCTAATGAATGGGATTAGTGACCTTATAAGAAGGGACAGGAGAGAATGCCATGCGAGATTGTAACTAGAAGACAGCCATCTGCAAATCAGGAAGAGGGTCCTCACCAGACACCAAAAATACCAACACCTTGATCTGGGACTTCCCAATCTCCAGAACTGTGAGAAATAAACGTGTGTTGTTTATGACACCAGATTATGATAATTTGTTATAGAGCCCAAATTAAAACATAAATGGTCTCTGACTTCATGGAACGTATAGATGAATAGGGAAGACAAACCACATATTCAAATCAATAAATGTAAAATTGAAATAGAAATAAGTGCTATGAAGATCAGATAATAGGGGTATTTGAACAAGTCAGGAAAGTCAAGGAAAGCTTCTCTGAGGTGGGATATTTGAGCTAAGCTCAAATTTACCGAAAGAATTAGTTCTTCTTTAACAGAATGAAGGAGTCTCCCAAGTATGAAAAAGGGCCCTGATATAGGAATGAGAATGGCAATTATGGGGGATAGAATGCTAGTGTGTCTAGACCTGTCCCTGGATAAATTCACTAACATTCTTCATAAAATTTCAGAAACAATGATATTCTGAGGTCCATCCATAGGCCCCAATACTGCTCTTGTGTCATATGATGATGGTTGCAGTATAAAATAGTATAACCCCTATGGAGGGGAATTCAGCAAAATCTAGAAAATCACATATGCATTTACCCTTTGATCCACCAATCTCACTTCTAGGATCCTATCTCAAAGAGACCCTTGAAAAATTATGAAATGGAATATACACATAGTTATTTGCACCATTATTTACACTAGTCAAACTGGAGCACCATCTTAATGTTCATCAAAAAAGAGGACTGATGAAACAGAAACACAACGGGTTATTATGTAGATATAAAAGAGAATGAGGACCCTCTCTGAAGTAGGGAGTGATCTCTAGGACACAGAATGAAGTGAAAAACGTAAGGTGCAGAAATTGTATATGGTATGCTATCTTCTGTTTTAGCAATAGCAGTGGGGAAAGGAATGTGTCTGTGTGTATACATAAATGTAGTCATAAAAACTAAAAACTCTAAAAACTGAAAACAAACTGGCACAAATGACCCTAATTCCCTATCAGGTTGACACTTATGTCCTAACCACACACAAAAAAGAATTATTATAACTGACTTTGGAACACAGTATCCTCACTGTACTTCTTCAGTGGGATATACTCTAAAGACAAAAATAATACATAGACATCTCAATGCCATTTGAAGTGAAGTAACATAAGAAAGGGAATGGACTCCTGTTACTGCTCCAATAAGATAAAACACAGGAGGCTGGGTGCGGTAGCTCAAGCCTGTAATCCTAGCACTTTGGGAACTGAGGCGTGCGGATTTCTCGAGGTCAGGAGTTCTAAACCAGCCTGAGCAAGAGCAAGACCCTATCTCTACTATAAATAGAAAGAAATTAATTGGTCAACTAATATATATAGAAAAAAAATTTAGCCGGGCATGGTGGCACATGCCTGTAGTCCCAGCTACTCAGGTGGCTGTGGCAGAAGAATTGCTTGAGACCAGAAGTTTGAGGTTGCTGTGAGCTAGGCTGACGCCATGGCACTCATTCTAGCCTGGGCAACAAAGCGAGATTCTGTCTCAAAAACAAACAAAGAAACAAACAACAACAACAACAGAAATAAAACACGGGAAGAGGACTGTTGTCCCCAAAAGGCAAACTTCTGGCCTAAGCGTTGGGCCAAGTGGAGGGTCTGTCCGGAATTTCTGGGCATTAGTGGGACCTGGGCAAGGCTCGCCATCTTGCTTAACATGTTTCCTGTCCACGAAACAATAAAATATCCATGTCTCCCATTGTAAGTTATTTTTCAGATACAAAACAGGCGTCTTGGCTAAAGACGAGAAAGCCCCTTCCCACAGAAACAGCTGCCTCCAACCTGAAGAAATTGCCACAACAGACACAAGGAGGTCCCTTGGGAAATTGGCCACCAGCCGAGTGGGCAGGGAGTGCACCGGGGCAGCGGTGCTGGACTTGGCAAATAAAAACACAGGTCACCTAGTTAAATATGAATTTCTTGATAAACAACGAATAACTGCGTATGATACTACATTTGTATTAAAAAGTAACTCGTTTATCTGAAATTCGAATTTAACTGGGCATGCTATACAGTATTTTATCTGGCAACCGTGGACCTGGGGCGCTCTGGACCTGGGGCGCTCGGGCTGGTTTTCCCGCACGGGCCCACCTCCCCACGCGGCAGGTGTCGCCCGGCTCACCGCTCAGGGGCTGAGAACCCGGCCCCCGGCGCGAACCAGCCTTCCCTCGGCCTCGTGGGGACGAGCGCTGCGCCACTCCCAAGCTCCAACCGTCGGAACCCAGCTGCCGGCCACGGGCCAGCCAAGCGAGAGGAAGCGTTCCTGGAAAACAGCGGGCGCCTTCTCCGTGCCTGCGCCTCCCTTCGATCCGGGAGTCGAGTCCCGTTGCCAGGCAACTAGCGCGCACTCCTCAGGCGCCGAGCGGGGCCCGGATGGTGAGCTGAGGGCGCGCGGGCCGGGGGCAGGGCAGGGGGGTGCGGGTGCGCGGGGGATGAGCAGTGGAGGTTTGAGGCCCAGCAGCTTTGGGAAGGGGGCCGCGGAAAAGAGCAGTAGACCCCGACAGGCCGGCCCACAAGCTCTGGGAGGGATGAAGGGGCAGCGGGCTTTGGGGAAGAGGCTATAAAGAGCCGTCTGTCTGAGAAGCGCCCCTCCCCCCACCTCCAGAGTTCCTCGGAGACCGTCGCTGCAAGTTCGGTGACCCAGCAGTTTCCCTACTCTTCACCTTTGCACTTGGCTAGTGACTTTTGCTTGGTTCCTTTTAGAACCAACTCAGGTTGCCCCTACCTCTGGGAAGCCGTCCAACCTCTGCCAGGCCCAAGCCATTGCAGTCTTCCCTGGCTTAGTTGTTTGTACATAGTAGGCTGCTAGCATTTCCCGTGCTCTGTTTCAATTTACTGGGAGGGGTGAGGGGGAGGTGGTGCCATAATAAATGTTAGTTGAGGAACCGTGTTTCCGCAGAAAATAAGACCTACCCATAAAATAAGACCTAGCAGGATTTCTAAGCATTTGCACAATATAAGCCCTACCCCGAAAATAAGACCTAGTGATGGGCGTGGCTACGTATCTGCACAACCCATGCATTTCGTGGAGGAGTGTTAAAGAAGAGGAGCAGCCCTTCTCATCTGCCCCATGAGAGATCTATTGCTCCACATGACAGATTGGGGCCAATGGTTCTAGAGCAAATAGAGTCGCAAGAAATTCAGGAAGGAATTCGCGGTTTGGAGAGTTATGATGATGTTCCAGAAAAAGACGACTTAACTATATTTGAATAAATGTAGATTGTTGTACCATAATTTAAAAAAAAAAATCTCCTGAAAATAAGCCCTAGGGTGTCTTCTTGAGGAAAAATAAATATGAGACCCTGTCTTATTTTTGGGGAAACACAGTAATTGTAAAGTTTTCTGGCTGCGAAAGAAGCAGAAAGAGAGAGAGTGGGGCCAAACAACGTGGCTTTATTGTGTACTCTCCGAAGAGGTTTGCGGGTCTCAAGAGAGGGGCGCCCCGAAAAGTTGCGTCTGTTTGGAGGGGATGCGGGCCTTTATAATGTTTGGGGTGGACTAAGGACTTTTGGTGGGAAGAGCTGGGGATTTTCCATTGTGACCTTTGGTGGTCATTGATAAATAGGAGCGGCTGGCTGTCTTTGCAGAATCCAGGAGCCAAAACTCTTATCTGGGTGGACATCTAGGTGTGGTTATTCTCAGCGGGTCCTGGTCTCCTGAGCCATTTCTTTTTTGGTCTACGGAGGGGAGGGGGCCTGCCACCAGCCTTACAGTAATAAGTATTAGGATGAGCACTGATGAATCAAAGAAATCATGAGCCCTTACCTGGGCCCACAAGCATCAGAGTCCTTGCTGATTAAGTCAAAAAATATTTTCTGAGCACTTAATGTGTGCCAAGCATGGGACATTATAGTGAGAGTAAAGACATCCCTATCCTATTGCCCTGCCTTCTGAGTGCAAGACCAAGAGCAAGGACGGCCAGCGTAAGCAGATCCCCAGGAGAACTCTGGGAAACTCCCCAAAATAGTACACCTCTCTTGGTGAGTGTGCCCTGCGTTGATGGGATCTGGCTGTAAAAGGCATCTCTTTAATCCCTCCCCATCCAGGCTTCACACTTGTGGCTCTACTTTGGCTCTACTGTCTTTACAAGGAGTCTTAGTAACTGTCAGGTCAACATATTTCATTGAGATTATTGCTAGATATGTGCAGTTTAGAGTAGGTGCTTTCTCCTAATACAGTTTGCCATACCTAAGCAATGTGGCAACCACCCAGTGACCAGAGAGGCCTTCTAGAATGCAGAGTAGGTGATTCTACTCTCTAGGAAGGACATTTCTACAGCAATAAAGACAAAGTAAATCTATAATTACAAATCACTTGGGGATTTTTAAAACTCAGATTCTGAATCTGTAGGTCTCAGGTGGGATCTAAGATTCTGCATTTCAAGCCCCAAGGTGATGGAATTCTGCTGGTCATCTGCCATCGGGCCAGCTTTGAGTAAAGGGGCGTAAAAGATTGTTTATCCAAGTCTATGGGCTGAGGTGGACCACAGATTGTTCCACCCACCTCCATCCCCACCCTCTGCCACTACCTCAAACTTAGTGGCTTTAAACACATAGTTCTTGAGGTCAGAAGCCCAAAATGAGTCTTAAAGGCTAAAACCAAAGTGTTGACAGAGCTAGTTCCTTTGGGAGGCTCTGGGGGAGAATCCATATCGTTGCCTTTTCCAGTTTCTAGAGTCTACCTTTGGCTCATGGCTCTGAATCTCATTGCCTTTTTCCCTTTACTCTGTTATCACATTGCCTTCCCTATCCAACCTTGCTGGGTCCCTCTTATAAAGACATTTGTGATTGTTCCTACATGGATAATCCAGGATAATCTCCCCATCTCAAGACTCTTACTTTAATCACATCTTCAAAAAGTCCCTTTTGCCACATATGGTAATATATTTATAGGTTTCAAGTTTTAGGACATGGACACATTTGGGAGCCATTATTCAGCCCTAGAACAAGAACATTCTCTTACTTATATTTCATTTATTCAAAATCAAGAAATTTAACCTTGATAAATTATATTACCTAGTGTATAATTCATATTCAATTTATCCAAATTTCCCAACAATATCCTTTAAAGAATTATTTTTTTCTTGTCCAGATCCAATCTAGGGTCATGTATGTAGTTATTATAGGTGTTTAGTCTCTTTGGATCTATAATGGGTCCTTATCTTTTTTTTTCCTCATGACCTCGACATTTTTAAGAGTACAGCCCAGTTGCAAACTATCTCTCAATTTGGCTTTGTTTGATGTTCCTTTAATTACATCCAAATTTTGCATCTAGGGCAGGAATCCACAGAAGTGTATGATGTTCCATAAGAAGTGTACCACGCCAGGAGGCATGTGATTCCACTTTGTCCCTTTAGTGGTGATGTTTACTTTGATCACTTGGTTAAGGTTGTTGTCAGGCAGGGTTCGCCAATGTACAATTTCTATATTTCTCTCTGTAATTAATACAAAATATGGGGGAAGAAACTTTGAAACTATGTAAACATCCAATTCCTTGTCAAATATTCACTCAGTTTTAGCACTCATTGATGGTTCTGGCTTCATTCAGTTATGCTGTGACGTTTACAAAATGGCAAGTTTTAACAATTCTATTATTCTTTCCACACTTATTGGTTGGCATCCTACTTTAAGAAAGAACTTTGAGGCTGGGTGTGGTGGCTCATGCCTGTAATCCTAGCACTCTGGGAGGCCGAGGCAGGAGGATGACTCAAGGTCAGGAGTTCGAAACCAGCCTGAGCAAGAGCAAGATCCCATCTCTAATAAAAATAGAAATAAGTTAATCGGCCAACTAAAAATATACATAGAAAAAATTAGCTGGACATAGTGGTGCATGCCTGAAGTCCCAGCTACTCGCTACTCAGGAGGCTGAGGCAAAAGGATTGATTGAGCCCAGGAGTTAGAGGTTGCTGTGAGCTAGGCTGACACCATGGCACTCTAGCCCGGACAACAGAGTGAGACTCTGTCTCAAAAAAAAAAAAAAAAAAAAGAAAAAAGAAAGAACTTTGCCGTGTCCCCCATTCATCTACTTGTTTATTCTCTCATCCAAGAACTAAACAGGCCAAACCCTGCTTATCTTCCGAGATCAGGCGAAAACAAGTATGCTCAGGGTGGTATGGCTGAAGACTTGTTTATTCTCATATGGACTTATGGATTCTTATTTTATTCTATTAATATGAATAAATGTCCATTGTAGTCATTATTTTAATGGTAAAATTGCCCCAATATTGGCTAGTAGGAGCCCCTTCGAGCTAGCTCCTATGTCCCCAGCATTTTAATTTTTAGAATTTTCTTATTTTTTATTTTATTTTATTTTTTTTTTTTGAGACAGAGTCTCACTTTGCTACCCAGGCTAGAGTGAGTGCCGTGGCATCAGCCTAGCTCACAGCAACCTCAAACTCCTGGGCTCAAGCAATCCTTCTGCCTCAGCCTCCTGAGTAGCTGGGACTACAGGCATGTGCCACCATGCCCAGCTAATTCTTTTTTTGTATATATATTAGTTGGCCAATTAATTTCTTTCTATTTATACTAGAGACGGGGTCTTGCTCTTGCTCAGGTTGGTTTCAAACTCCTGAACTCAAACGATCCGCCCGCCTCGGCCTCCCAGAGAGCTAGGATTACAGGCGTGAGCCACCACGCCCGGCCTAGAATTTTCTTACTTTGTAGCACAGTGAAAGGTTCCAAGCTCATTAGACTTCCCCTGTCCCTGCCTGGAATCAGCCATTTCTCCAAGGAGCCCTGATTCCTTTTAAGTGACGAAGGCTTATAAAAACAGGTTTTTTTTATGTTCATTGTGCTCATTGCTACTGAAGTACTTTGGCTTCTAGACCCTTGCAGTGGAGAGAGCTATGAGGTATCTTTTCTATGTCCGTATATATCTGTCTACCTATATTTCCTTCCTTAAACTGAAAAATGGGATGGAGGGAACAAATTGAAAAATGCCTCCAGAAGGCCGGGCGCTGTGGCTCACGCCTGTAATCCTAGCTCTTGGGAGGCCGAGGCGGGCGGATTGCTCAAGGTCAGGAGTTCAAAACCAGCCTGAGCGAGACCCCGTCTCTACTATAAATAGAAAGAAATTAATTGGCCAACTGATATATATATAAAAAATTAGCCGGGCATGGTGGCGCATGCCTGTAGTCCCAGCTACCCGGGAGGCTGAGGCAGAAGGATCACTTGAGCCCAGGAGTTTGAGGTTGCTGTGAGCTAGGCTGACGCCACGGCACTCACTCTAGCCCGGGCAACAAAGTGAGACTCTGTCTCAAAAAAAAAAAAAAAATGCCTCCAGAAAACATTAAGGCTTGGATCTGAGCCTTTATTATTTACTGAGCTCTTTCGGATTTAAAATGTGTAAACTTCAGGAATATGGAGTTGGTCAAGAGTAGGCTGGGTGCTAGGCCATTTCATGGCACCTTCTTCTACCCTAACGGTTAATATTTATTAAACACTTACTGTGTGCCAGGCTAAGTGTCCTGTATGTGTTTCTTATCTCTTCTAATTCAATTATTATGAGGTACATACTTTTTTCCGCCTGTTTTACAGATGAGGAAACAGAGGCTCAGAGAAACTGAGTGACTTGCCGAAGGTCACACAGCTAATAAGTGGCAGAACCAGGACTGGAACTTCATCTGACTGATCCTGGAGTCTGCATTCCCACTGGTATGATTCACTGTAACTCCTAATTTCCATTCTAACTCAGGCTTCTTTGCCTTTAGCTCTTAAAATCTGATGAACACTGAATCCAGGGGCATCAATCCAATCTAAAGTGGTTTCTTGCTTAAGGAAAAGAGAACAGACTATTATGTCAGGTGCTGGCAGATCCTCTGACCAGGAGTAGCTGTAGTGCCAGCTAGCATTTTCCTTCTCTCTCCTCCCCAGGGCTTTTCCGTGGTCCTTTGTGAAATAAATGAACCTATGCTGTGTCATAGATGACTACACCTTCCCACCTCACAATAGCACAGCTTCCTGGGGGCTCAGAACCCCTCCCCAGGAGCTCCTGCCTGCTCATTTATTTCCTCCCTACTCAGGGTAGAAATGCATGAGTGAGTAGAGAGCCCTTAGAAGCCCTTACCCACCAATGTATCAAGCTTCTCGCAGGCCTGATAACCCTAGGACCTATTGTCTGACCTAGTACAGCTGGAGAGCTCTAGAAAAAAAGTCCATCTGAATGTAAGAGCTATTGGCAAGTATGTCTTTGTTGGTTCTTTTGAGAAGGATGTGATCCAGAAACCTATTTGTCCTGAAACAAATTTAAGTTGGTTAGAATGTGTCTATTTTTACAACCAGATTAAGTTTGTAAAATAATGTGATTCTGTTTTGATGTTTCCCAGGCCCCAGGATGGAAAGTGAGTACCTAAGGAGGTGCTTTGGAAATTCCCTGACCCAGGCACTGGTGGAAGTGGCAAAAGTTCGGCCCAGCGACCCAATAGAATACCTGGCACACTGGCTTTATCATTGTAGGAAAACAACTAGAGCAAGAGAAGAGGTGTGTGTGTGTGTGTGTGTGTGTGTGTGTGTGTGTGTGAGCGCGTGCGCACTGGGCTACTTAGGGGGTGCTCAGCTTTCCCAAAGGAATTCCAAATCCAAGGGCAGGATTCTGGAGCTAGCCTGGGGAGTTTCTTGGTTTATTCAATTTAGGAGTTATGGATTAGAGCCAGTTATCTAAGTGTGGGGAGTTTGGGGGATAAAAGAGGGAATCCAACTCAAGGAGTTGTGGAGTGGGTGGATTTGGAGCTGCTGGCAGGCTAAAGTTGCCAGCAGTTACAGAAGGAAACACAGCAGGCCTGAGGGCCCAGGGCTCAGTCAGATCTGTTACAGCAAGCGGGGGGCCCATTTATAAGGCTTCCTGGTGCTGACCCAATTCCACTCCATCACGTCACCCCAGAACAGGCAGGAGAAGATCCAACTGAAGGAAGAATATGACAGTAGCTGCAGGGAAAGGGAAATGACAGAAATGCTGAAGCAAGAAGAATGGCAGATGCATCAGAAGTGTAAGTGTGGCAAGGTAGGGAGAAGGAGCTCAGCATTGAGCACACACATATCCTGATGACGGATTCCAGGGAACTGCATGTCCGCACAGACAGAATGCAAGACACACTGAGGCTCCCCTTAGCCTACTTGTTACTCTATATTCACATATTTACATATAAACCAATTTGTCAATAAAATCCTTGTCAATAAAAAAAAGGAAATGCTAAAAGACAGATTCATTTTAGATTTCAGGAAATAACTTTGATGTTAATTTGTTCACCTGGAGCAAATATTTTCTCATGAAAGATCCTTTGAGCCCTTTTCAAAAAATATTCAATATTTTTCAAACTAAATATGGTCATTATCAATGCATACTTCAGCTGTATTAGTTTTTGTGTTTTATTTATTTTTATGTCAAGCCTCAGCTACCTCTATGAGGCATAATACTGGAGATAAATTATTAACTTGGAATAGTTGGAAACAACTATATTCATCTGTCTGACAAGCACATCATTTACTTCCCACAATTTTTTTCCACAGTCTCCTGAAAAATGTCTTGTGCCATTCTATGCTTTTTACAAAGTACATGATACTTGGATAGACAACTGACTTAATTGAAATGTTGGACTTGATATCTGACCTCTTCTTAACTATCACTATATCCTGTGCATTAAAATCTTTAATGCAGTTCTATACGATTCACTAGCTTTTGCTAGCGAAATTAGCCAAACTTTGCTAATCAAAAAAGCCAACTTTGAAGACATGAAAACATTAAGCTTATTTATATCTTACGCTAATATACTCATAAACAATTAATAGACATACTTTTTAAGGCTGGATTTTATAAATACATCAAAAGAAAGATGGTTTCATACTACTGTTTGACAATAGACTAAGGGAACTCTCATTCAAGAAGGATCCATTCTCTGAGCAATTTTGGGAGGATGGGAGAGATAAGGATCCTTAAGCAAAAGTTGCCATCACCCTGCTGCCCACTCTAATCCTTTTCTAACACCATGGTTATATATTTCTATAAGGTAGGAAAAGACTCCCAAAACTCCACCCTAGCTTTAATGGTACCTTTGTTAAAGAAAACTTTGCTCACACCAATATTTTGAATTGTCTTTTTGTGTTGCACTCAGGAGGTTTTGCATCCTTTATCAATATTCTTTAGCAGGATTTAGATAAGTAAAAGGCATGTTATTCTTTTGCCAAGCATGAGACAAAGGCAATTGTGAGGGAAGATGGGCAAATGAGAGCCAGCATGGTGCCTAGACCGTGTGCAAACTCTCAGTTTTAGGGTTATGGAAATTGATTTCCTTTTTTAGAAGGAAATAAAGAGCACCCAAGCATGATCTAAGACAAAACTGAATTTACTTCTTAACTGGCAAGGGAGAGCTACAACATTCAGATGTGAGTTACTCACCAGGTAAAATTCGACAGGGCTAGATAAAGGGCACAAAGAAGCAGGTGTACATCAAATAAGACAAGAATCCAAGTTCTGGTTTCTGATTGACTCAAGGTGGATTACAAACTATTCCTTGCTATTGGTCACCTTCAAATCTTATGTTATTAATGCTGGGAAACCTGGTTTCTAACTTGCCCAGAATGGATTGCCTAAAATTTCAGCAGGATGGGCTTTTAAGTTCATAGTCAAAGCTTTGCAAGATTTTTCCTTCACCTCTTAAAACCATCTTTTGCTTGCACACACTTCAGCAAGTCTTTGAGTACCCCATATTGAATACTACTCATATAGAAGATGTGTCAAAAGAAGAATGGAAACGTAGTGTTAGGTGTGGTTGAGAGCATGTCCAATTGTAGGAATCAGGAAGAGTTCATAGAGGAGGTAGCATCTGACTCAGGCCTAGAAGAAAGCTGGCAAAAGGTTGCCCTTGTATTGGTTTCTCTCCAGTAAGCAGAGGCAGCTTTGAGGAAGGAAACCATAATTTTGCTTCTATGTCAGAAAGCAATTCTTATTGTTTATAAAGAACTGAGCCACACAGATGTTTGAGGAATACATCTTTATAGCATCAATAGATATTTGTGCGTAGACTTCACACTTTGAAGTCAGAAGGATCTTAGAGATAAGGTGGACAAGTACTCCATAGACCTCTCTGCAGTGCCCCATGGAGTAGAATGGGCCTCTAGGACTTCCAGGCAAAGACTAGGGTGGACATGGTCAGTAGAGCCTAAGTTCCAAGGATTCCTATCTCAGCCAGGGACTACAATTACGTGCATGTTAGACTGCTTGACATTGTCTCATAGGTCACTGAGGCTCTGATGTTTTTTTCAGTCTTTTTTCCTCCGTGCTTCAGTTTGGATCATATCTATGAACCTGCCTTCAAGTTTCTTGACCCTTTCTTCTAGCAATGGCCATTATCCTATTTAGGGATTCCATAAATTTTTTCATTTCAGGTATTTTGCTTTTCACTTCTAAAATTTCTGTCTAGTTCTTTTCTAATGATTTCCATTTTCTCTGGTAATATACCCTAACTTTAATTCACTATTTTTCATCTTTAAATGTTTGAAAATACTTATAATAATTGTTATTAATCCTTGTCTGTTAATTTCATCACCTATGTTGTTTGGGAGTCTCTTTCCATTGAATATTTTTTCCTCTAGATTATGGCTCCCATTTTCTGACTTCTTCACATGTCTCGTCATTGTTATTTGTGTGCTGAACACTGTAGATGATTTTTACAGAGTCTAGATTATGTTGTTGTCTTTAAAATGTATTGGGTTTTGTTCTGGCAGGCAGTGGAAGTATTGGTAAATTACCTTGATCCTATCAGACTTGGTTTTATGCTTTGTTAGAGTATTTTTCAGTTTTGTTCTGAGTCTTGGGCTTGAAAATGGCAATATTGTGCTCTTGCCATACCTGTGTGTGTCTCTACCACTAACTTTTTTGTTGTTTTTTTGTTGTTGTTCTTTTCTATTTAGGAACTGTTTTCTGAAACTGTTTCGTCCAAGAAGACTGTATTCATGCAGGAGGACACGAAACCCCTTGAGAAGGAGGCCTTGGAGCAGGAATCCCTGCGAGGTGCTCCCAGTGTGATTCCAGGAGAGCCTCAGCAGGCCTCTCCTTCAGAGTCTGCTGGCCAGGCTGACTGGAAGCCCCCAACTCCACAAGAACTAAATCACCAGGAAGCTCTTCAGTATGAAGTGGCCTATGAAATGCCTTCTGGCTCCAAATCTCCTCCCTAGATGGTTCTGAAATTCTTCCCTAAAAGCTGGAAGCTAGAGGAGCTCTTACTTAACCCAAGATTTGAGGATCTGTAAAAGTTGGCCTCTGTAGGGACTCATCCCCCCCACCCTCACCCCCTGTCTTAATCTGATAGCCATGAAAACCCCTTAATCATGTGAGGATTTGAACTAGTTATAGGATCAAATAAACTGTGAATAAGGATTTAAAATAAGTAACTAAACTGCTGAGACTTTTTCCTGTTGTTTTCTTTTTCTTTTTTTTTTTTTTTTTTTTTTTTGGTAACTACACAGTCAAAACACATCCATCTCATGTATTCAGGTCTTAACTTTAGCTGCACTTTGTAGGCAGGCCTCTCAGAGCATTTTTTATGTGTCCTGGAGTCTACCTATGTCATTGATAACAGGTATTTTTCTCTGCATATGTTACCAATTTTTTTACATGTTTTCCCAAATTTTTTATTGTGGTATAATACACAGAAGATTTACTATCTTAACCATTCTTTTTTTTTTTTTTTTTTTTTTTTTTGAGACAGAGTCTCCCTTTGTTGCCCAGGCTAGAGTGAGTGCCATGGCGTCCTAGCTCACAGCAACCTCAAACTCCTGGGCTCGAGTGATCCTTCTGCCTCAGCCTCCCGGGTAGCTGGGACTACAGGCATGCGCCACCATGCCCGGCTAATTTTTTATATATATATCAGTTGGCCAATTAATTTCTTTCTATTTATAGTAGAGACGGGGTCTCGCTCTTGCTCAGGCTGGTTTTGAACTCCTGACCTTGAGCAATCCGCCCGCCTCGGCCTCCCAAGAGCTAGGATTACAGGCGTGAGCCACAGCGCCCGGCCTTATCTTAACCATTCTTAAGTGTACAGATCACTAGTATTAAGTACATTCATGTTCTTGTATAACCGTAACTACCAACCAGTTCCAAAACTCTTTGCATCTTGCAAAGCTTAAACTCTGAACTCATTAAACAAGTCCATATTTCTCCCTTCCCTCTCCTCGGGCAACCACCATACTACTTTCTGTCTCTGTGATTTTGACTACTCTAGGTACCTCGTGTAAGTGGAGTCATATAACATTTGCCTTTCTGTGTGGCTTATTCCACTTAGCATAACATATTCCAGGTTCATCCATGTGATATGTAGCATGTATAAGAATCTCCTTATTAAAGGCTGAATAATATTCTGTAGTGTGTACATGCCACATTGTTCTTCTTTATTCATCCACAGATACTTCCACATCTTAGCTACGTTGAATAATGCTGCTACAAACATGGTGTACAAATATCTCTTCAAGACCTTGTTTTCAAGCCTTTCGAATATATACCCAGAGGTGGAGTTGCTGGATCATACGATAATTCTGTTTTTCATTTTTTGAGGAACCACCATTCTATTTTCCAATAGCAATTGTACCATATTAAATTCTCACCAATAGAGCACAAAGGTTCCAATTTCTCTACATCTTTCTAAACACTTATTTTCTGTTTTTTTGATACTAGCCATCGTAATGGATGTGAGGTGGTATTTTATTGTAGTTTTGATGTGTGTTTCCCTAAGGATGAGTGATGTTGAGCATCTTTTGACGTGCTTGTTAGCTATTATCTTCTTTGGAGAAATATCTATTCTTTTGCCCATTTCTTAATTATGTTTTTTTTTTGCTATTGAATTTTAGGAGTTCTTCATATATTATGGATGTTAATCTCTTATCAGATACATTATTTGTAAATATTTTCATCCATGCAGTGTGTTACCTTTTCATTGTATTGATAAAAGGGGTATTTTGAAACAGCTACCATGATAATAAACCACAGATGTTTGAAAAAATGTTTTAAATTATTTTTGTCTACATTCATTCAAATATAATCTATATACTAAGGACCTCAGATTTATATATATATATATTTTTTTTTTTTTTTCTAAGACAGTCTCACTCTGTTGCCCAAGCTAGAGTGCTGTGGTGTCAGCCTACCTCACAGCAACCTCAAACTCCTGGGCTCAAGCAATCCTTCTGCCTCAGCCTCCTAAGTAGCTGGGACTACAGGCATGTGTCACTGTGCCCAGCTAATTTTTCCTATTTTTGGTAGAGATGGAATCTCGCTATGCTCAGTCTGGTCTTGAACTCCTGAGCTCAAACAATCCACCTGCCTCGGTCTCCCAGAGTGCTAGGATTACAGGCTTGAGCCACCACGCCTGGCTGTTCACAGGTTCTTAACTTGGCTCCACTTGGCCAAGCGCTCTCAAAACTGCCCTTTTCTGGTGGTCTGTAGAAAGAATTCGTGGACTCTCTCCTCCGTCTTCTGTACATTTCTGCACAAGACCTTGCTGAGCACTATTATCATGTCCATTTTATAGGTGCAACAACTGAGGTTTTGAGGTATGAACTTCAGCAAGGACACAGATGGGACACAATCATGGCACCTGACCCCAGAGCCCATCCTGTCAAGCGCTCTGCAGTTCTACTGGCCTATACACCTGGGAATCAAGGCCGAGCAGGGACCAGGAAAGAGACCCGGATGAATACATTTGAGCAGATTGCTGGCAGCAGTGTCCTCAGAGTGGACATAAATAGTGATAAGTAGCTGGTTGGGTCCCACACGGCGTGAGAGCTCAGAGGATGCAGATGGGAGGGGAGACAGGATACAGGAAGGTGAGAATGTGGGTGTCATGGGCCAGGCTATCCCCCAGCTGGCAGAGTCTGATGTGGCTTTGGGTTACCAGCAGGTGCAGAAAAGCTGTTCTCTCGGGGCTGTGGTGTTTCCCAGATGTGAAGTTCAGCATTTTAGGAGCACAGCAGTATTATAGTCCCTAGGAGACAGTTGCTTCTGTCTGCTAGGGCTGCCACTACAAAATACCACAGATAAGCTGACTTAGACAACAAATGTATTTTCTCACAGCCCCAGAGGCTGAGAAGTCTGAGATCAGGGTGCTGGCAGGTGTGGTTCTTGGCCACGCCTCTTTCTGGCTTGCAGAGGGTCACCTTCGATCTGCATCCTCAGTGGTGGACCGAGATCTCGCTCTCTCCTTATAAAGCCATCAATTCTGTTGGATTATGATGGCACACTTACAACCTCATTTAACTAATTACCTCCTTAAAAACCTTGTCTCCACATAGAGTCACATTGGGGGTTAGGCCTTCAACACATGAATTTGGGGAGACACAGTTCATTCCATAACAAGGGTTCATACTCGGTAAGCATGTAATAAATGATCATTGAGGACTGAAGAAATTGAACAGTTCGAGAACTCACATGTACCTGAGGTCCTTCCACAAATCTCAGCTGGAATAATGGGCATGAGATTTGCTGTGCCTGGGTGTGCCTTAGCTGTGGGGGAACATTCTGAGGAGAACTTGCATGGGAGCTCATGGTTGTCCTCCAATAGCCACCATGAGGAGGTCTGAGAAAGTTACACCACGTGTCCTTGATGGGCCTTAGTGAATCCATTATTCTCAGATTGACCTAAACATTTCCTGAACTGTGATGTAGCTGGTGCCGATTCTGGAATAATGAGATCCCTAATGACCGCCCCCCACCCCCAAGGAAGCCAAATAATAATGACTGTTATTTGTATTGTTTAATGTCCTTCTAGAGTGTGGTGACTAAGTCTTTCTTTTTCATCCTACTTGCCCTGGTGGGAGGAACAGTGATGCAATATGAAGCTCAAAGCCTTCAGGGTCTGGCCGATGTACTTCCATTTCTGAGTTCAGTCACCTACTGAATGACCTTGAGTAAGTCACTTAACTTTTTCTGAATCGTTTCTTCACCTATAAAATAAAGCCCAGAAAAGTACTGCCCAATAGTGTAATCATGAGGTTATATGAAAACAATCTGAAATCATTAAAGAACCGGCCCTTAGACTAGATAATGAAGTCATGAGACCCCCTCTACCCACATCTGCTGAGAAGAGAGCCCTCTACTGACAGGCCACATCTGGCTGGCTAGCCATTCATTCATCAGATTGTTATTTTGAATGCCTACAAGGAGCTGCAACACCGAGTTCTGAGTCTTGGGGCCAGGGAAGAACAAGACAGACAACGTTCCTCCCTTTATGTAGCTTGTATTCCTGGGGAGCCCAACAAATAAACTGAGTTCGGGTAGTGCTAAGAATGAAAGACATTAAATACAGGGTAATGTGCTAAAAGGATTACTGAAAGCTAGGGTGTGTGGGAGGTGTTGGAACACTGTGTCACTGGCAAAATGTAGGGGGAAGCTTCATGATGAGCTGAGTCCTAAACATGGAGGAGCCTTCATCTCCAGGCAGGGGAGCAGCAAGCGCAAGGCCCAGTTGAGTAGGTCAGGCTGGGTGCCCGACCACACACAGGCTGTAGTCTGACCAGTGCTCTGACTTTTCCCTTGGGACTTAGATGTAGGAAGCAGGACAGGAATTTACACTCGGAAGTGGGAGCTGAAGATAAAAGGTAGAGGGATGAAAGTTTGAGATAATCAGAAACTCTGAGCCAGCTGAGGAAGTCAGATTGTGGCTACATCTGGCACCTGCCTGAGCAGGAGAATGAAAATACAGGGCATTTACTTGTTGGTGAGGTTCCTGGAGCTGTCTTGAAATCCAAGCCACCGTGTAGTTCTAGTCTGCAAGAAGTCCCACCTTGTCATCAGCTTCTGTTGTTGCTGTTCCCAGACAGACTCAGTTCTTAATCTCTCATCATGTATACTTTCAACATACCTCCCTTTTACTTTTCCTAGTTCTCTCTTGCAACCAGAAGAACTTGACTAGAACAGAGCCATGTGGACCTGGGTTTGAATCCATGGCTTTACCCTTATTAGCTGTGATTTTGAGCAATTATATAATATCTGTAAGCATCAGTACACAGCTGTATCCTTGTGGTGTTGTCGAGAATAAAGGAGTGCCTAAAAGGAAAAGGGCCCGCAGAGGGTTTAGCACCTAGCAGGTGCTCAGAATGTGTGATGTCACTTTCTTCTTCCCCTTTCTCTCATGCTTTAATGGCTTTTCAATGGCATATCTCCTGCTCAGGATTGAATTCTCCTAGTCTTGCTGAGTCATCCTCTTATGGTAATCCCTCCACCTGTATGTGTGTCTCTGGTCATTTCAATGTCCCCTAAACTATAATTGGAAGAACTTAATGGCAATTACCTTCCCCCTTCTAAATCGATTGATACTGTCACTTGTCTTCATGAGGCCAGAGTAGTAAGGATGAGTGATGGATCTATTAATATTAACAAAATTAGTTTTAGAGTTGTGAGCATTTGTACTGAGATGGACCTGGAAATGGCTTGCAGTGAGAGAGGTGTGGGGACCAGGATGGTAGAGTCTGTCCTCCAGAAGGTGACTGAAGGAGGGAAGGGGGAGGTAAAAGCCCTCTCAGAGAAAATAGGTTCAGAAGAGGAGACAGATATGATATAAACATGGAGCAGAAGTTCTTGGTAGACCTCGGTCTAGCAGGGAAATAGAAAAAAGGTCATGTCGGTATTGGGAAGCTGTTCCAGGCAGAGCTCAGTGTCTTTGAAGAGAACTCTGTAGTCTGGAGCCAAAGAGAAAGCTGTTATTTCTTCAGGACAGAACACTTTGGGAGGGGCTCTCATCTGTCCTGGAAATGGAGGCCAGGGAGAACTAAGAAGCACACTGAAGGTATCTGTAAGGTATGGGTGTGTATGCTCCCCTGTGTATGCTCACTCCTACAAGCTGTGCTCATACTTCTCTGCCTGAGTGCCATGATTTCCACGTGTCCACACCGGGTAAAGTGGAGCAGCTGTGGCATGCAAATGCTGCGTTGCAGAGACACGGGAGCAGAACGCTGCAAAGGTCGTCACAGATACCCTCCTTGACCCCAGGGGTGGACATCTTCAAGAGCACATCTGCAAGCCTTTCACAGAGGCATTAGAGTGGTATCCAAGCAGCGCTAGAATAGTAGTTGAGGCTTGGTTTGGGGGCTTGTCTAAGCTGCATCATGCTATAGCCCCCACATATGTCCCTGGATGCGTTGCATGATTCTGGTGTAGCTTCACACGGGCATGCAAAGGATGGAGAGGACATGGTCTCTGATTGCAGGGAAATGTACAACCAAGGAGAAATTCTGTAACAAGTATGGAGACTGCTCTTGATTTCAATCCCCTTCTTCCTGGCTCATAAGAGAGCTACAGTATTTATTTGTTTATTTCCCAGGACCATGGTTGATAGAACCCAGAAGGTGTATTGCGTCCATCTTGCATTTCCCTTTGTGCCCTATTCCATCCAGAAAGGCTTCCTGGCAGAGCTGCTATTCCAGGCTTTGGAGGTGGCCAAATGGAGATATTTGAGAGCCCAGTTGGCACTATGTGTGTGAACAGTGAGAGACCGTGATTACAGCAACTGAGAGGCAGTCTTTGACTGGTTGCCTTTGCAGACATTTTCATGTTACAAGTTAGGCAAAGTAGCCTGTCCATTTATGTTTCTTTGTAGTAGTCACTTTGTCTATGAAAGTGTTAAACACAGCTGAAGGGTGTGAGGTCAGTTAGGCTCAAGGCAAATGAGGATGTGAATGGCTGTGGAAGCCATGCCCCACAGCACTGAATCCTTCCAGATTTCTCTGGGCACACAAGTGCTTTGATGTTGAGAAACACAGAAATAACTGGCTTCTTCACAGATTCAACATTCTGTCTTAGTCTCCAGGAAGTAGTTGACTGAGGACTGAAGGACTCTGATCAAGGGCCCCTGAGTTTTTCCTCCCTGGCTGGGAGTGAGGGAGGCATTTATTCCAGGTTGGCCAGGGAGGAGAGGGGGAGGGCTGTAGCAATGACTCCCCAGCATCTCTGCTCTGTTTTTTAACCTTTACAGCAAGTACTGTGTGCTGGTGTAATAAGTATGTTTATGTGAGGGGATCTAGAGGTGAAGGACCTGTAAGCCACCTCACTGTGTCCCTGTCCTCTAGGGTGATTGGCAAATTTGGCCCATAGGAGGCTCTTGATGTGTGTGTGCTGAGTGAAGGAATGAGAGAATGTGACTCATTCTTTTCTCACTGATGGGAGCCTGTCACTCTTTCTGGAGATGACACAGGGATCTCCAGGGACAGGAAAAGTGCCCAGTTGGATATTCTGTTTTTCCATTTTGTTCTTTCATATGCAGTGAATGGGAGCCAATAAGGCCCTCCAGTTAACAAAGAGAGCCCCCTGTATGTGGTGTACATGGTTTTCTTAGGCTGTATGCTGTTAGCATTCTTACCTTCCATCTAAATCCAAAGCCTCGTACGTTCTTCCCATAGCAACCCAGTGAAACATTTTATTTTAGGGTCAATACTGACTCCCTAGCTAACAGACTTGGATATTTCAAGTCCTTACTTAACTGTTTGCTACATTTAGTGTTGTTGACTATGTCTTCCTTTTTTCTGTTTTAAGTAATTTTAAGAAGTTAACCAAAGAATAATGCATAAAATTTATGAAACCAAGGAGATTTGACACCTTAAAATATTGTGTACAATCCATGAACATGATATAGTCCTCTAATTATTCTTTACTTTTTTCCCCAGCAATGCTGTATGATTTCCAGTGTAGAGATCTTGCATATCTCTTACTAGACATAGTCCTTGGTATTTTTTGGTTTGGACGCTATTTTAAATGCTGTTTTCAAAAGTTTACTTTCTAATTATTGTCAGTATATAGAATGCAATTGATTTTGGGTCGCAGTTTATTTACTTGTAGTAAAATATACATAACAGAAAATTTACCATTTTAACCATTTTTAGGTGTATACATTAAGTACATTCACACTGTTGTACAACCACCATTGATTTTTATATCAACTGTGTTGAGATATAACTTATAAGTGTTTAAAATTCACCAATTTTAGGTGTATACTTCAAGTTTTCATACATTTGTCCACATCTAGAACATTTCCAACGCCCCCAAGGGTCATATATTTCCCTTTACATGTGAAAAAATACAGGCCCTAAAAGTTAAGCAAATCGCCTAAGGAAATGTTGGTATGGAGGTGCAATGTCTTGTCTGGAGCCAAGCTTCCATCTTCTGATTCTTAAGCATTATTTTTTGCATGTTTTCACCATCCATGATGAAATACCGCAAAGAAAATAACCACGTCCAGCAGAAGAGAAACACCCACCTCTTTATTCCTTACAGAAACATCAGCAGCCATGCGTACCTCATTATCTCTAAAGTGCTGCCCAGCAGCCATGGGTCCCTCATCCTCTGTAAAGGACTACACAGAGTCTGCTAGAAGGGACTTGGAATTGGCTTATGTCCAATATGCCCAAGAACAGCTTTGTGGGGTCACTGCAAAGAGCTGGTGAGAAAAGGATATCTCAGATATCTTTCTGGCTCCAGCCAAGGTAGGACACCTCTACCCACATAGCTGGTTGGACACCTACCCAGCAAAATTTCCTGTGAGCAGAGCGTGACTTGGTCCAGTTCATTCACAGCTCCAGGTCTGGTTCCCATGTCCCTCGTGTGACCCATAACTTCTCCACTCCCACAACCACTGGTCCAGCTTGAATCCTCTCTCCACACTCAGTCCTCCTATTCCTTCTCTGCCAGAGATTGTCATTCTCTTTATTTCCGCCCTCTAACCTTCCCTTCTTCCTGAGTACCCTCTCTCCTCTAGGTTTATGCAGAGAATATGCTAGACACATTCCACAGGCTACAAGCAAAAATCTTAAAGAAGGAACTGGCACATGCACGATTCCAGATGGTGGCAGACATAACCATCCTGTTTCTCAAGAGAATGGTGAGGAGCCCTTGCCTCTAGGCTGGGGGAAAGGAAAGGACCCCGGGTCTGAGCCCAGGAGTTCTCTTTTGGTGGGTAATGACATTTGGACCCAATTGGGACCTGGCATATAAGCACCTCAAGTTTCTAAACAGTGTGTCAAGCCCATATCTTGCACCCAGAGTGCACCTCAAGAAATGTGACTTAGGCAGAATGGAAGACACAGTAATGGAGGGAAGGGGTGAGAAAAGAGAGCTGAGATGGACAATGGGAAGGATCTGTGCTATTGGCTTCAGCACCTGACCTGCTCCTCAGACTGCGTCCACAACTCCCTTCTGGGATACCATAGGTGGTCACCTTTGTTATTGTGACTCAACTAGTTGTCCCACTCAATTTTCTAACCTATTTAAATCCACTCACCAGTGCTAGCCCACCTCTACACTGAATGTTCATGCCATCAACCTGTCTATCCATCCACATAGTTTTGTAGTTACTTTTCTGACACTGCGTTAATCTGCCCTCTTATTTTCTTGGTTAACTACTACCTGAGAGGTACCCTTCCTCCAATTTACCTGCCTTCCTGGGCACAGTTGTCTTGTGACCTAGACCTCTGACCTCCCAGGGACTTTCCAAAGTTGCTTCCACCACTTCCATCAACCTTCCTGGTGGTTCACTGGAAGCTACAGGGGACACTCTGTGCTTTGGAACGTCCCATTCCCACCCTCACCCCAACACACAAGCCAGAGACATTGCAGGCTGAGAACTTGTCCCTTCTTGTCTTCTCATCCTCTTGTACACTCAAGGAAGCTCTCGCCCTCCAGCACCGGGAAGGTGAATATTGGATGGGTGGTGGGTTGAGGTGAGTGAGCTCTTGCCCTCTTGAGAGAAGACAATCACTTATTGATGAAATGTGGTTCTCAGAAGCTTGGGGACTCGTCTTGGGGATGAGCCTGGGAACAGCCAGTCCTTCTCTTTCCAGATGCCAGAGGGAGAACTGGAGGACGCGTGTACATCAGTCCTCCTGGCTCTGGGGTCGCACCACATAGAAATGGTCATCGATATGCTGTTGTATGACATCGAGGACAACACAATGCACCCCAAGGAGCCTCCTGCTGGCAGTGGAGGAACTCAGCCTGCGCCCAGGTCTGGACCCTGTGATGGAAGAGTTTGTGTGAGAAGACAATGGGGCAGCAGGAGAGGGGTCACTGTACGGAGTCTTGATTCTCCTAATTCTTTTAGTAGGACAGCTGCACTTGGGCCACCACTTGGGGGTGTTGGGGAGGAGGGGGACAATCCAGGCTCCGTGTGGGGCAGATGGGAACTGAGGAGCAATTCCTGGGGACCAGGAATGGCTCAGAAGAAAGAGTATTAGGGTATGAAAGACTGGGGCTGAGGGAAAGACCGAGGAGCAAAGATGAGTGAGAAGGTGGATCAGAAAGCCCCATTCTGCAGAGGCAGGAGGGGCAAAGGGGGCAGTAAGGAGATGTTGCTTAGGGAACACTGGGCTGTGGATCAGATGAGAGGCTTGGAAGAGCAATTGAGTAGCAGGAGGAGGTAGAGAATCACCACACAGTCTTCCTCTTCCATGCTGTCCCTGTGGCACCTGGTGACAGCAGTGGTTCTATTTCCCATGTCACTTCTGTTCCTCAATCAAAAACAAATCAAGTCACTGGACAAATGACAGTCCCTGCCCTTTGTTGACCACTTAAGCTGGGGCCAAAGGGAGGCTGGGGAGTCAGCAGGCCTTCTGGACCTCAGGTTCCAAAGGACAAGGCACGAGGGGTAGGCTACCAGACAAGCCCAGAGGACACAGCAACAGAGGCAGGAATTGTGTCTCCTGATCTGATCATGACAAGTGCTCTCACATCGAGCTCACACAGCACATGTCTTTGGTTCTTCAAGTGTTCCTGAAACGGGGCGCGTGTGCAGGTGGTGGCAGCCCCCGGCTTCTGTGTGCTGTGCTCACACTAACATGGAGCTTCACCTTCCCCGTGCTGCTTCCCAGAGGCAGCCAGGTCGGGTCCCCTTTCATAGCTGCAGAAACTAGATTCAGGTCAATGAAGTACCTTGCTCCAGCTTACCCAGACTCTTTGCAGGCAAAGCTAGGGTCAGAAGCCAGGCCTCGTGGCCCCTAATCAGTGAGGCCTCCTACACTACAGCTTGGCTGGAAGGCCCCCCTCGCTAGGATGGGGGTGTCATCTTGCTCTCTCCCTCCCAGACATAGACAGCTACCGGGATGCCACGTGGGCCCGTATCCTGAGCCTGCTGAGGAATAAGCGCAGGGAGGAGGACATGTTGTTGCTGTGTCAGGGTGAGGGTCGGGGTGTGGGGAAAGCTCTGTGGGAATCAGGGAGGGAGCAAAGAAGGGCAGGAAAAGATGGGGTCTCTGAACATGGATCCCAGAAGCCCAGAGAAGGGGTGGGAGGTGGCTGGGAGCAGGCCAGCATGTCAGCAGATGCTGTGCTCCATCACCTGGTTTGTGGCCAGGACCCAACTTGACCGGGATGCGGGGAGTGTCGGCAGCCTCACCCATTCCCTTGCCCCTCTGGGTGGACCAGGTGCCATCAGGGGAGATAGTTGGGGAGATGGTGAATGGGCAATGTTGCCAGCACAGGGTCCCAGGGGCCCTCTTGGGCAGCAGGGGGGACTGTGGGCACATGTCTGTGTGTCTGTTTCCTCCATGGCGAGGGAAGGGTGATGGCAGCTCCAACTCCCTGCTCCCCTCACAGTGCTCCATGAACTGGCCGCCAGCGCCCAGGATCTCCTGGACGATGCCTCTCTGCAGAAGGGAGTAATGAACAGAATGTTCATCAAAGTGGCCACCAGGGCTGATGAAACGCTCCAGGTTTTCTTCAAGAATTGGCTCCTGGCCAGCAAAAGCAAGGTGGGAGTGGAAGGTAGTTGGGGTTAGGGGATGGGCTGAAGGGGAGAGGCTGGAGCCAAAGATGGAGAGGGACAGTGTGTGTCCACTCGCTGTGACAGGCTGACTCACCAGGCTCTTGTAGGGGGAGGGGGATCCTTTTCAGCCACCTCTTCCTGTTGATCAGAAAAGGGGACAGTCAGAAAACACTCCCCTGTCCATTCACTCACTCGGTAATGATAGGGTTCTGTCATTTGCCTTTGCCTGGCCCCCTCTGCCTGCCAGGCACTGTGCCAGGCCCTGGGGATACCAAGAGGAATGACGAGCTGAAGCAAACTCACTGTGTCTCTTTGGACATAGGTGGCAGAGAAAGCTCTGGAGACCATTGGCCACCTCTTCTGTCTCCTGCAAGTTTCAAATCTTGAGAGTCGTCTGTACTGGTTAACTGGATGGTTCACGACTCTGACATCCACAGCAGTGAGGCCACTCTACATGTGCAAGGTGACTGGGGGGGTGAGAAGGAAACATGTCTAGTTTGTGCATTCCGTATTTATTGAGTACTTGGTGCTGCAGAGTTTGTTTGTAAATAAGCTTTCACCAGAACTCGGCCATGTCCACTCACTCACACACAGTGTGCGTATCCTCCAAGGCTGCCTCTGACTACCACAGTGGAGGGACAGCCGCCACAGAAACCAGGGCTGGCAGAGCCTAAAGCATTTCCCATCTGGCCTTTTACACAGAACGTTCGCTGAGCCCTGGGTGAGTGCAGCCCACATTTATTGAGAAGCTGCTCGAAGCAGGGCTGGGGAAGTGGAGATGGATATGCCATGGTGCTTGTGTCAGAGCTGCTTTCTAGCTATGGGGATGGGGTGACTAGCTATGGGGATGGGGTGACTAGAAGAAGCAGAGAAACCATGATTAATTGGGCCTGCAGGGATTTAAGGAAGCTTCTCAGAAGGGGTGACATTTGAATTGTACCTTGAATAATGAGGCAGACAGCATAGACCAATAATAAACAAGGAGGTTGAATCAGTTCTAAAAAGTCCCCCAGGGAAGAAAAGCCCAGGACCTGATGGCTTCACTGCCGAATTCTACCAAACATTTAAAGAACTAATAAGAACGCGTCTCAAACTCTTCCCCAAAACGAATAAAATGGAAGAAACTCCTTTTATGAGGCCAGCATTACCATTATGCCAAAACCAGATAAGGACACTACAAGAAAATCCAATCATAGGCCAATATTCCTGCTGAATATACATGCAAAAATTCTCAACAAAACAGAGACAGCCAATTCAGCAGCACATTAAAATCATCATTCACCATGATCAAAGGGGATGTTCTACACAGACAGATTCATGAATATGATAGAGCACATTAAGAGAATGAAGGAAAAGAACCATGTGATTATCTACAGTGACGTAGCATTTGACAAAATTTAACATCCTTTCATGATAAAAACTCTCAACAATTAGGTACAGACAGAATGTGCCAGAACACAGTAAACAGCACACGTGACAGGCCAAAGCCAACATCACACTCAGTGGGCAGATGGTGAAGGCTTTCTCTCCTTTTGTGTCACAGCCTTATGCACAGTAGCCAAGGCAGGGAATCCATCCAAATGAATGGGTGACGGAAACAGGGCACACCCACAGTGGGATACTATTCAGCCTTTCAACAGAAGGACATTCTGTCACTGTGACCACATGGATGAAACTGGAGGGCATTACTTTAAGTGAAAGAAACCAGGCAGAAGAAGACAAATAGCATATGATGTCATTTCTGTGTGGAAACTAAAAGAGTTGACATGGTAACACTGTGTCATATACATGAAAATTGCTGTGTAGGTTTTAAGTGTTCTCACCACATAAAATACTGAGTATGTGAGGTGATGTGTATGTTAATTAGCTCAAAAGTTTAGCCATTCCACCGTGTCTCCATATTTCAAAACATGAAAATGTCTATGGTTATGGTTTGTCACATTAGAGAAGCAGGCAGCTCTCCCCCCGGCAGACTGAGCTGGGAGGGATTGAAAGGAGAGGGAGCAGTGAGGGCAGTGTGAGCCTTTGCTGGCAGAGCCTGGTTGCTGGGACAACCTCTGGGTAGATGGGAAGGGATTGACTCTCACTAGGGAGGCCAAAGGGCAGAGAAATGTTCTTCCTGTGCCTTGGAGATGCACCCATGCATGGAGCATCCTCACGTGTCTGGGCCCCGTGCTGTTGCCAGTTCCTGCAGAGCCTGTGAGGAAGCTGCCCAGGGCTTGACACAGCATCTTGTATGTCACACACAGGAGCCCCGAAGAGCCCAGGTTACCTGGGGCTCTGGAGAAATGGCTTCATCCAGTGATTCTCAGACTGTTTTAACACTCAGATCCTTGGGGAATATTCTGAAAAGCACACTCACATAGAATTTTGATACACTTTTGGGCAGTCACAGACCCTCTGAAACTCATCCCTTGTGCTGGGATTAAGAACTCCTCTAAGCTGCTGTGATTTAGGCTTTAGCAAGAAAGAGGATCTAGAATCAGTCAGCAGGATAAACAGAGTAATAAACTGCAGAAATAAACAGAGGAGAGATGCTGGGGGGACATTGCCACAGCCCTCCCCCTCTCCTCCATGGCCAACCTGGAATAAATGCCTCCCTCACTCCCAGCCAGGGAGGAAAAACTCAGGGGCCCTTGATCAGAGTCCTCCAGTCCTCAGTCAACTACTTCCTGGAGACTAAGACAGAATGTTGAATCTGTGAAGAAGCCAGTTATTTCTGTGTTTCTCAAAATCAAAGCACTTGTGTGCCCAGAGAAATCTGGAAGGATTCAGTGCTGTGGGGCATGGCTTCCACAGCCATTCACATCCTCATTTGCCTTGAGCCTAACTGACCTCACACCCTCCAGCTGTGTTTAACACTTTCATAGACAAAGTGACTACTACAAAGAAACATAAATGGACAGGCTACTTTGCCTAACTTGTAACATGAAAATGTCTGCAAAGGCAACCAGTCAAAGACTGCCTCTCAGTTGCTGTAATCACGGTCTCTCACTGTTCACACACATAGTGCCAACTGGGCTCTCAAATATCTCCATTTGGCCACCTCCAAAGCCTGGAATAGCAGCTCTGCCAGGAAGCCTTTCTGGATGGAATAGGGCACGAAGGGAAATGCAAGATGGACGCAATACACCTTCTGGGTTCTATCAACCACGGTCCTGGGAAATAAACAAATAAATACTGTAGCTCTCTTATGAGCCAGGAAGAAGGGGATTGAAATCAAGAGCAGTCCCCTACTTGTTACAGAATTTCTCCTTGGTTGTACATTTCCCTGCAATCAGAGACCATGTCCTCTCCATCCTTTGCATGCCCGTGTGAAGCTACACCAGAATCATGCAACGCATCCAGGGACATATGTGGGGGCTATAGCATGATGCAGCTTAGACGAGCCCCCAAACCAAGCCTCAACTACTATTCTAGCGCTGCTTGGATACCACTCTAATGCCTCTGTGAAAGGCTTGCAGATGTGCTCTTGAAGATGTCCACCCCTGGGGTCAAGGAGGGTATCTGTGACGACCTTTGCAGCGTTCTGCTCCCATGTCTCTGCAACGCAGCATTTGCATGCCACAGCTGCTCCACTTTACCCGGTGTGGACACGTGGAAATCATGGCACTCAGGCAGAGTAGTATGAGCACAGCTTGTAGGAGTGAGCATACACAGGGGAGCATACACACCCATACCTTACAGATACCTTCAGTGTGCTTCTTAGTTCTCCCTGGCCTCCATTTCCAGGACAGATGAGAGCCCCTCCCAAAGTGTTCTGTCCTGAAGAAATAACAGCTTTCTCTTTGGCTCCAGACTACAGAGTTCTCTTCAAAGACATTGAGCTCTGCCTGGAACAGCTTCCCAATACCGACATGACCTTTTTTCTATTTCCCTGCTAGACCGAGGTCTACCAAGAACTTCTGCTCCATGTTTATATCATATCTGTCTCCTCTTCTGAACCTATTTTCTCTGAGAGGGCTTTTACCTCCCCCTTCCCTCCTTCAGTCACCTTCTGGAGGACAGACTCTACCATCCTGGTCCCCACACCTCTCTCACTGCAAGCCATTTCCAGGTCCATCTCAGTACAAATGTTCACAACTCTAAAACTAATTTTGTTAATATTAATAGATCCATCACTCATCCTTACTACTCTGGCCTCATGAAGACAAGTGACAGTATCAATCGATTTAGAAGGGGGAAGGTAATTGCCATTAAGTTCTTCCAATTATAGTTTAGGGGACATTGAAATGACCAGAGACACACATACAGGTGGAGGGATTACCATAAGAGGATGACTAAGAAAAACTAGGAGAATTCAATCCTGAGCAGGAGATATACCATTGAAAAGCCATTAAAGCATGAGAGAAAGGGGAAGAAGAAAGTGACATCACACATTCTGAGCACCTGCTAGGTGCTAAACCCTCTGCGGGCCCTTTTCCTTTTAGGCACTCCTTTATTCTCGACAACACCACAAGGATACAGCTGTGTACTGATGCTTACAGATATTATATAATTGCTCAAAATCACAGCTAATAAGGGTAAAGCCATGGATTCAAACCCAGGTCCACATGGCTCTGTTCCAGTCAAGTTCTCTGGTTGTAAGAGAGAACTAGCAAAAGGAAAAAGGAGGTATGCCAAAAGTATACGTGGTAAGAGATTAAGATTTGTTTCTTTTTATTTATTTACTTTAAGACAAAGTCTCAGGCTACAGTGAGTTGCCCAGGGTAGAATGAGTGCCGTGCCGTCAGCCTAGCTCACAGCAACTTCAAACTCCTGGGCTCAAGCAATCCTACTGCCTTAGCCTCCCGAGTAACTGGGACTACAGGCATGCGCCACCATGTCCGGCTAATTTTTTCTATATATTTATTAGTGGGCCAATTAATTTCTTTCTATTCATAGTAGAGACGGGGTCTCACTCTTGCTCAGGCTGGTTTTGAACTCCTGACCTCAAGCAATCTGCCTGCCTTGGCCTCCCAGAGTATTAGGATTACAGGCGTGAGACACCGTGCCCAGCCTAAGAATTGATTCTATCTGGCAACAACAAGAACAGAAACTGATGACAAGGTGGGACTTCTTGCAGACTAGAACTGCACGGTGGCTTGGATTTCAAGACAGCTCCAGGAACCTCACCAACAAGTAAATGCCCTGTATTTTCATTCTCTTGCTCTGGAGGTGCCAGATAGAGCCACAGTCTGACTTCCTCAGCTGGCTCAGAGTTTCTGATTATCCCAAACTTTCATCCCTCTACCTTTTATCTTCAGCTCCCACTGCGAAGTGAAAATTCCCGTCCTGCTTCCCACCTCTAAATCCCAAAGGAAAAGTCAGAGCACTGGTCAGACTACAGCCTGTGTGCTCAGGCACCCAGCCTCACCTACTCAACTGGGCCTTGCGCTTGCTGCTCCCCTGCCTGGAGACGAAGGCTCCTCCATGTTTAGGACTCAGTTCATCTCTTCATGAAGCTTCCCCCTACATTTTGTCAGTGACACAGTGTTCCAACACCTCCCACACACCCTAGCTTTCAGTAACCCTTTTAGCACATTACCCTGTATTTAATGTCTTTCATTCTTAGCACTACCCGAACTCAGTTTATTTGTTGGGCCCCCCAAGAATACAAGCTACATAAAGGGAGGAACGTTGTCTGTCTTGTTCTTCCCTGGCCCCAAGACTCAGAACTCGGTGTTGCAGCTCCTTGTAGGCATTCAAAATAACAATCTGATGAATGAATGGCTAGCCAGCCAGATGTGGCCTGTCAGTAGAGGGCTCTCTTCTCAGCAGATGTGGGTAGAGGGGGTCTCATGACTTCATTATCTAGTCTAAGGGCCGGTTCTTTAATGATTTCAGATTGTTTTCATATAACCTCATGATTACACTATTGGGCAGTACTTTTCTGGGCTTTATTTTATAGGTGAAGAAACGATTCAGAAAAAGTTAAGTGACTTACTCAAGGTCATTCAGTAGGTGACTGAACTCAGAAATGGAAGCACATCGGCCAGACCCTGAAGGCTTTGAGCTTCATATTGCATCACTGTTCCTCCCACCAGGGCAAGTAGGATGAAAAAGAAAGACTTGGTCACCACACTCTAGAAGGACATTAAACAATACAAATAACAGTCATTATTATTTGGCTTCCTTGGGGGTGGGGGGCAGTCATTAGGGATCTCATTATTCCAGAATCGGCACCAGCTACATCACAGTTCAGGAAATGTTTAGGTCAATCTGAGAATAATGGATTCACTAAGGCCCATCAAGGACACGTGGTGTAACTTTCTCAGACCTCCTCATGGTGGCTATTGGAGGACAACCATGAGCTTCCATGCAAGTTCTCCTCAGAATGTTGCCCCACAGCTAAGGCACACCCAAGCACAGCGAATCTCATGCCTATTATTCCAGCTGAGATTTGTGGAAGGACCTCAGGTACATGTGAGTTCTCGAACTGTTCAATTTCTTCAGTCCTCAATGATCATTTATTACATGCTTACCGAGTATGAACCCTTGTTATGGAATGAACTGTGTCTCCCCAAATTCATGTGTTGAAGGCCTAACTCCCAATGTGACTCTATGTGGAGACAAGGTTTTTAAGGAGGTAATTAGTTAAATGAGGTTGTAAGTGTGCCATCATAATCCAACAGAATTGATGGCTTTATAAGGAGAGAGCGAGATCTCGGTCCACCACTGAGGATGCAGATCGAAGGTGACCCTCTGCAAGCCAGAAAGAGGCGTGGCCAAGAACCACACCTGCCAGCACCCTGATCTCAGACTTCTCAGCCTCTGGGGCTGTGAGAAAATACATTTGTTGTCTAAGTCAGCTTATCTGTGGTATTTTGTAGTCGCAGCCCTAAGAGACAGTGGCAATTGTCTCCTAGGGACTATAAAATTGCTGTGCTCCTAAAATGCCGAACTTCACACCTGGGAAACACCACAGCCCCGAGAGAACAGCTTTTCTGCACCTGCTGGTAACCCAAAGCCACGTCAGACTGCAGTGCTGCCAGGCTCTGCCAGCTGCGGGACAGCCTGGCCCATGACACCCACATTCTCACCTTCCTGTCTCCTGTCTCCCCTCCCATCTGCATCCTCTGAGCTCTCACGCCCTGTGGGACCCAACAGCTACTTATCACTATTTATGTCCACTCTGAGGACACTGCCGCCAGCAATCTGCTCAAATGTGTTCATCCGGGTCTCTTTCCTGGCCCCTGCTCGGCCTTGATTCCCAGGTGTATGGGCCAGTAGAACTGCAGCGCGCTGGACAGGATGGGCTCTGGGGTCAGGTGCCAAGATTGGGATCCCAGCTGTGGCCTTGCTGAGCTTCCTACCTGTAAGCCTCAGCTGCCGCACCTGTGAAATGGACGTGGTAATAGTGCTCACCAGCACCTGTGGAGAAACGGACAGACGACGGAGGAGAGAGTCCACGAATGGGTTCTAAGACCGCCAGAAAAGGTCAGTTTTGAGAGCGCTGGGCCGAGCCTGTCAAGAACCTGACAGGCAAAACCCGTTAGATTTCTCAGGCGCCCTGACAGTTTAACTGAAGGTGGCGCGTTCCTTGGTCTGGCCTGCCATCTCTCATTGGCCTCTCGGCTGTCAATCAGACACTGTCTCCGCCCCTGCAGTTTCTGACCGTTTTTCCAGGCCGATTCTCCCCTCTCCGCCCCTTTGCCAACCAGCTCTCACGTGAGCACAGCCGCCCCACTGACCCCGAGGCCACGCCCTGGCCATGGAGCATGCGCACTCTAGGTCGCCTGTATGCCTGGGGCGCGCGAAACTACAGGGTCCTGGCTGTGGGCACCACTAAACTTGCTTTGGACTTCAGAGCCTCTGGTCTGGGGTACCTGTGGAGCTGGTGACTCGTTGGCCCTAGCGAAGATCAGGAGGCTGCAAGGCCTAGAGACCTGGGGCATGGCAACTCTGTTTCTCATTGTGAACTAAAATAAAATTTTAAGGCTCCCCCCACCGGCTGACTGTTTGGACCCGCTCTTGGCCAAGGGGATAACCTAAAACTAAATTACCTGCCGTGAGGAGACAGGCGTCATCTTGCCCCCCTCCCTTCTTGGAGACATCCTTTGTAACCCATTAACAGGCCTAAGGGTATGCAAGACTTGTGCAGGTCTCATTTCAAACAACAAAAGTATGTCTGGTGGCTTGTCTCTGATTGACAGAGCTCCTTAGCTTCAAACATTCCAAGCCTTTTGACAAAGCTTCAAGTCTTTAACCAACTAGGAGTCAAAGAATCTTAAAACCCACCTGTAACCTGTAAGTTCCCTGCTTCGAGATGGCCCGCCTTTTTGGGCCAAACCAATGTATGCCTCCCACGTATTGATTTATGACTTTACCTGTAACCCCTGTCTCCCTAAAATGTATAAAACCAAACTGTAATGCAGCCACAGGGAGTCCACTTGCTCAAGGCTTCTTGGGTGTGGCTCCAGGCCTTGGCTTCTTTTCTGTTGACATCACAAGATGTGTGATTCAGGCACATTATCTAACCTCCAGATCCGTTGTGTCTTCCTCTAGTGAGGGGAACTCATACCTACTTTTTTGTGCTGAGGGGAAGATTCAAGAGGACAGGTCATGGCATGATAAACAGATGTCTAGACAAACTGACACCCTAGTGAATAGAGGCTGCTGTTACTTTGCTGAACTCCCATTGCATGAACAGTGTACAAACTGTGAGAAATGGAAGGGATACGTGGCATTATTCCTTTTTTATATGAGCAAGGTCTAGTAAAAACCATACAAAACTACATACAGCATGTTTACTAAGTGTGGCTTTCAAAGGCTGGGACTCAGAATTTCCAGGCTGTGTAACAGCCACAGTCCAAACATTGAGCCATGAGTGGCGTAATTCCCCAGTACAGGCCCAGGCAGGGCTTGGGTGGGGCCTGGGAGCTGCAGGAGGAGCCTGGAGGTGGGGAGGAGGAGAGGGGTGGCACTGGGTGAGGCCTGGAGCCCATTCACAGCGCCACACCCCAGTGAGCAGCCTGCTGCAGCGAGGCCAGACGTGTGGAGTCTCTGCGTGGAAGTTAACGTGTGTCTCTCCGTCTCTCTGCAAAAGGTGGCCACAAGGTGAACGAGATGGCCTGGTGGAAAGCTTGGGTAAGTGGGAGCTGGTGGGGAGGCAGGTTCCAGCACGCTGTTGGGTGTCAGTCACTCAGGAGGCCTGAGAGAACATAAAGGCAGACCTTGGCTGTCCCAGGCCTAGAGGTGCTCACCGCAGGGACGGAACCCGAGCTTGGGAGACAGGCAGATAAAGAAAGCTTGAAATGCAACAGGGGAAGCCAAGGGGCAGGAGAGGTCCGGAGGAAGGGCCCTACAGGAGTCCTGCCACTTGACGGAGGGTATATCAGGTGGAGCTGTGTGTGCTGCATGAGCACGCGTGCATTTGGGGAGAATCAGGCAGACTGCTCCTTGCAGGGGAACAGTGTGTGCAAAGGCACAGCAGATGGAAAGCTGCTTTGGAGGGAAGTGGCTCTGCACAACTTGAGGATCTGGGTGGGGAAAACATGGACCTGGGGAAGCAGGCAAGGCTGAGTCCTAAAGGGGCTTGTGTGGCAGGCTAAGGAGTTGAAGCTTTACCTTAAGGGCAATGGGGAGCCATTGAAGAGCTTTGAGCTCCAGAGTAACCTGATTGAATATGCTGATGTTGGGGGCCATCCATGCCCATCCCTCAGGGCATGGGAGGGCCGAGGGCCTCCAGGGATCAGAGGTGCTCAGTTTTCAAGACTGGGGAGGGAGGAGAGTGAACAGGAGGACCTGGCCGGCTGGGGCCTACAGAGAGAGCCCAGGGCTGGGCAGTTTCCAAAGCCGGCCACTAGCCAAGGCAGCCTGATACTGGGCCTTGCACCCAGTGGAGCAAGGGTGAAGGGGCCTCCTTGTGGGGATCTGGCCAAACTGGCAGGATAATGACAGCATTCACTGAGCCCCCACCATGTGCCAGACACACCTCTGAGCAAGTCACATTCAGTATCTCACCACAAGCCTATGACAGAGACATCAGTATCCTTACCTGCAGATAAGGAAACTGAGGCACAAGTAGGCTAGGCAGCTGCCTGAAGTTGCCACACTAGTAAGTGTCAGGGGCTGGCTTAGAATCTGAGCAGCCTGACTCCAGAGCCCACACTGTGGCCTGGGCCAGCTACCACCCATGCCAGAGCTGGCTTGGGGCAGCAAGTGCACACGTAGACCTCACTGAGACTGGCTGAGCTGCCAAGGAAGACCACACATCCCCTGGGCACTAAGCCAGACCAGGAACAGTATTGAGGGGGATGAAAGAGCCACACCCTCCTTCTTTAGGGCGTGCCTCCCTCCACACCCCTCTTGTAGAGACAAACTGTCTCCCAGCTTCTCTGGCAGCCCCATGACGGGAACGCAAAGCTGTGGCAGCTCCTCTGTGCCATCACAGAATGTGTTTGATACGTAGTCACAGACTCTCTGGGTCACCTTTTTAGTGAAAATGTGCATGTCTGGATGAGCCCAGCCCTGGGCAGGACCCAGCCGGAACTAAAGGCTCCTCCAACAGCAGCAGGCCACGATAGAAACCTCTGGGGCTTCCTTCCCACTCCAGGCTGACATCCAGGGCTCTGATTCCAAGAACATCGCCTCCCCTCCCCCTTTTTCCTAAAACCTTACAGTGGGAAGTGGGCCTAAGGGTTCTTGATGTGGGGACATCGGAACCATCCAGGGAGCTGCTTGCAGACAGTGTCACCTGAGCCCTCCCTCACACCTGCTGAACGGGACACTCCTTGGTGACTCAGCCATATGGCCTGGCCAGTCGCTGCTGCACCACAGCCCCCTAATGCCCACTTGGGTGGCAGAGGGAAGCCCCTCTGGGGGTCCCCAGAGCTAGGCACTGAGAGTTGGGATGCCCCCACACTCCCAGACGACCTGCGTTCCTGTGGGTAAGGCTTCCTTTCGTGAAGTGTTCCAGGAACACTCATTCCCTGGGAAAGGTTGAGTCATCGGTAGTGTGGGAACAGTCAACAGAGCTCAGTTCTGAGTCAGGCTGTGTGTATGTGTGTGTGTGGGGGGGTGCCAGCACTACCGCTTAGCAGCTGTGTGACTTGGGCAAGGTCACCGAGCCCAGCACACTTGCTTGTAAGATGGGCATCAGTACTCACTTAGCACAGCTGCTGGGGATGTCCAGGGGACAAGCATTGCATCTAAAGCACCTGGCACACACGATGTGCTCAAATCACTAACAGGAGGAGCAGCAGCACATGACTCCATAAGCGAGGGGTACCATGAGTCTGCCCACATTTGGGTAGCATCCGGGAACACGTGGGTTCTCCTTGGATGGAATTTCCACAGGAATGACTTCTAACAATTTCTGCTGTGAAACATGGTGCTAAGAAATGAGTCAATAAGATGTGTCACCAGATATTTGAAGGTCAAGTGAAGGGTGCAGGATGCACAAAAGGTATTTAGCTCTTACTCAAAGGAAAGATCCTTACAGATATACCATAGATGGGAATCTGTTCTGTATTTTCAGGATCTAACCTAGGGCTTGGCTGGCTGGCTGGATGGGTGGATGGATGGATGGACAGATGGTCCAGTGGGTAGGTGGATAGATGAGTGGGTCGGTGGAAAAGTAGATGGTTAATGGGGGTGATGGAGGGGATAGGTGAACAGGTGAGTGGAAGACCAGACTCAGTGTGACTATAAACGCCTTTCCATTTTAGGATCTCTGAGACTTTCTCTAATTCATTGCCCATATCCAATCTTCATCCACTTTCTACCATACCCCCTCCAAAACGTACTTACAAGGAGTCACCCATCTTAGGCATCTGAGACGTTGCGCAGGGCGAAAGTTTAAAGATTCCTCAGGCAAACCTTGAATTGCAGGCTTGGAAGTCAAGGGCCCAGGTACTCTGGTTATGGTTTATGTCACAATCTGCAGAGCATCCTGTGGTTCTTTCTACACCTAACCCTCTGAGCCCCATGAGCCTGTGGACGTGCAAACACCCCGATCTGCCAGGATGCTCAGCTGGGCGCCCCACCCTCTAAGGTTCTGTAAGCCCCCACCCCTCAGGAGGAGGGCAGACTGAGCTCAAAGCATTCCTCAGAAGCAGAGAACCGTGCCAGCCTCCCAGCTCCTCTGCCGGCTCTCAGGGCTGTGTGTTCAGCTCCAGGAAGCTGTTACTCAAGTGCTCTTTTTTCTCTTAGCTTTGGGTGGGTCTGTCCCTTCCTACTGCTTGTGGCTGGTGCTGCACCTGCCTTCAGGTGCACAGGCCGGGACAGGCCTTTGTGCAGCTTCTCCCCATATGCTCTGGATCTGGCTGTTCTGGTCTGCTGGCCAAGGGGCTGGAAGGCTCTGCACTGGCCTGCAAGGGCCCAGCTGCTCTCAGAGCCCAGGGAAGGTGCTCACCCTGCCCGGCGGGCTACAGGGTGGTCTGGGAGCCTGCACTGCCTTCCTAGCCCTTTCTTGCTTTGAGCAGGCCTGGCTCTCTTGCAGGTTGAACAGGAGGGTGTCACAGTGAAGGGCAGCTCCCACTTCAACCCAGACCCTGACGCGGAGACCCTCTACAAAGCCATGAAGGGGATCGGTGAGTGAAATCTGCAGCCTCACCAGGCTGGGCCTCTCTGGGGCTTCACCTCTCTGCTCAAGACCCTTCCACTCACAGCCCTAGAAAGGGGGTGCTGGGGACAGCCAGGGAGTTGAGGTGTCCCCAGGATACTCTGACACTGACTCCAATACCCAAAAAATCACACAGGCCCCAGGTTCCCCAGCAGTGGTTGGCACCTGCACCTGCCAAAACTGGATGGGGGGAGGGCAGCTATTGATCCCTGAGTAGCAGGGAAGGGGGAGGCCACCTGCTGTGTGTCCTTGTGCAAGCGATTTCACCTGCAGTCTGAGCTTCTCACTTAAAAAATGGCCCCATGAACTCTGGACACGTGTGTGTCTGTGAATTCTGGGTGAGACAGTGCTGGAACAGCGCCTGGCTTGGGAGTGTGGAGGGCTGTGGGGCTGACCCAGGGTCTCCTTGCCTGCCGCATGCTGCTGGCCACAGAGCGGCTTCCTTCTGTCTCCAGCATCTGCCTGAGGCCGCCCTCAGCATTCCTGCGAATGGGCGAGGGCTGGCCCAGCCCTGATCTCACCCCAGGCAGGATTTACCCCTTTGCTGGCTCTGCCTGATTAACTGGGCATTCATGAGAACCACCATTCCTGTAAAACATTTTTACACCAAGTCTGTATGTAAAACATTTTCATGTCTCCCACTTTCGGTAAAATCTATGCTATTATCTCCACTTCCCAAATGAGAAAACGGAGGCTCAGGGAGAGGCATAGCTGGGCCAGGCCTCAGACCCAGAGGTCTGGGCTTAGTGCCCACTGTCCCTATAGCAACCAACACCAAGAAGGGCAGGGCAGGAGACCTCACTTGGCCAAGTGCGAAAGGCCCAGGGGCGATGTTCAGAGCCAGCTGGTCCTCCTATTCTGTGACTGTGAGGGTGGACCTGGGCAACACCCTAGCACTGTGGGTGCGGGTGGTGTGGGAAATGGGGAGGTGGATTTCCTAAGTATGTTGTTTACACCATGAAAATGATCTGGGCATTTGGAGCTATCCAGGTGGCCTGTCCCCGATGCTCAGCCACCAAGCAGCTGCCTCCCCCTTCCTGGCCCAGAGCAGTGCCCTGGGGGTAGGAGGTGGTCACACTGTGTACCTCTGCAGGGACCAATGAGCAGGCCATCACTGATGTGCTCACCAGGAGAAGCAACATGCAGAGGCAGCAGATTGCCAAGTCCTTCAAGGCTCAGTTTGGCAAGGTAAGTGGGGTGCCTGGGGTGGGGAAGGGTTGGAGAAACAGCCTGGGATGCAGCTACACCTAGAATAGGCCTTTTCCTGAGCCAGCCCACTGGAAACATGGGCACATGGGACCTGCTTACACCAAAACCATTCTCCTTTATTTATCAGAAGTTCCAATCTAATTGGCCACATGTGTTTTATCTGGCAGCTCAGTTTATAGCTACCCAGTATATCCTTGGCCTGTTGTCAGCCTCCTGTGGCCTGGCCCTACCTTCCTTTTTTGCCTCTCCCCCTCCCTCCCTCCCTAAGCTCCTTCACTTGCCCCAGGGGCCCAGTGGGAGCTCCTTCCTGCCCCAGGCTTTGCTCATCCTGCTCCCTAGCTGTCCTCCCTTCTCTTTCCCCAGCCCAGACATGCTGGCCGGCCCTTTCCCATACTGTGGCTTGGGCACTCTCCTCACTCCTCACGTTGGAGCTGCTGTGCCCATATCCTGTCCCTTCTGCCACCCAGAGCAGAACTCTAAGGGCAGGGAACAAGCAGGCCAGACCCTTTGTTTCTCCTCCCAGCTGCCCCCCAGCCTTAGGACAGAGCCTGACACATGGGAACTCAGTGAGCACAGGAGTAAATGTGCACACAGCCAGCGTTGCCTGGAAGCCTCCACTGGCTCAAATCGTTAGTTTGGAGATTTAATGAAGGAAGATCAGTGATGAAGGTCAAATATCCCCTTGGAGAAAGTGACGTGCATTTTAGTTTCTCTCTTAGTCCTTGCAGCAATGCATTATTCTCTGCACTCAACACTTGGGTACACTGATGTTCAGAGAGGTTGAAAGTTGCCCAAGATCCCAGAGCCTGCAAGCAGCAAGGTTGGGATTTAAACCCAGGCTTGGCAAAGCCCTTGACCTTGCTGCTGCTCTGTGCAGATCAGCTGGGTTGGCCTTGTGGCTCCTTGGTGGATCATGTGCCCTCAGGAGACACATGTGAGACAGATTCTTTAATTCATCCTTGCATTCACTCACTGAGTGCCTGTGGGCCCAGTGACAGGCATGAAATGGCGATGCCACCTCAGAGCTTGCAGTCTGGTGAGCAATGGCAATTTTATTGTATTTGGGGCTGATGACGTGCCCAGCACTATGTTGAGTGCTGAGCTGAGTCACACACATCTCTCCATCACCCCTTGAGCAGCAATAGGAAGCAGGGGCCCCCCTGTCTCTATTTAACAGGTGAGGGTATTGATGCTCAGAAGGAGGAAAGAGCCAGCCCAAGAAACCTCAGCGAGCACGTGGCAGGGCCCTCTCAAAATCCAGCCCGAGCCCCTGGGCCTGGCTTACGACAACAGGTCCCCACCTTTCCTTTTCCCTGCTTCAGGATCTCACCGAGACCTTGAAGTCAGAGCTGAGTGGCAAGTTTGAGAGACTCATTGTGGCCCTCATGTACCCGCCATACAGATACGAGGCGAAGGAGCTGCATGATGCCATGAAGGTAATTGGGAGAGTGGGGTGGGGGCAGGGCAGAAATGCTCCCAATGGCTTGGGGGTTGGAGGGGGCAAGCACTAGCAGCTCTGGGCTCCCCTGAGCAACCATCTGGCACAGGCTCCTGGACCCTGCCTGCTGCTGACACTGCCTCCCAATACCAGGACATACTGGCCCCCAACTGACACCTTCAATGGCCATGATGCAGCCCAAACCCTAACTTCCCAGAACCTCACTAGACCAGGTCTGCATCAGAATCTGGACCCCGCAGTGCCCATCACCGAAGACCACCCTGTGATTTCCCCCATAACATCCTCCAGCCAAGGCCCCCATCAGAGTAGAGCAGAGCAGTGACGGTCCTCCCTGAGGCTCAGGCCTTTTGAGAAAAGAGGGTGCAGACAGCACAGGGGCCGTCTCCAGGAGCTCTAGAGGTTTCTGTCCACAGGGCTTAGGAACCAAAGAGGGCGTCATCATTGAAATCCTGGCCTCTCGGACCAAGACCCAGCTGCGGGAGATAATGAAGGCGTATGAGGAGGGTAAGGGAGCTGCCAAGGGGGAGGGGCACAGAGGCCCGAGGTAAAGCTCCCTGTGGGGGTGGCCACGAGCTCTGGCAGCCTGGCAGGGAGCAAGGGTCATGTGCTGATCTGGGCCACATCAGAAAGGACCGTTTGGGGTTCATGAGTGCTGAGTGCCTACTGCATGCTAAGACATGACAGTGAGGTTGGGCATGACTCAGACCCCATCTGTGAGCTCACAGCTGCTGGGCAGACAGGCGTGTGCCCAACTAAACTCTCTGCCCTTCAGGGCCGTGGCAGTGCTGTGGGCCGCAGGCTGCATCAGCGGTGGATGGGGCTGGCCCTTCCTGGCTGGGCACAGGCTGGCCCAGGGGACAGCAGAGAGCCATCCCCTGGGCCCTATTGCAGTGGGGTGTGGACCACAGGCTAGCAGAGGCCAGCCCGTCCCCCATGCCATGTGCCTGGTGGGGCCACCTGAAGGCTTTGGCTCTGTTGAACCTGAGACACAGTGGAGCTCCATCGGCAGCCCTGGCCGGGCTCTCCGGTCTGGCCCATCTTTGTGCTTTGAGCTTGGTTGGGCATCCATGCTGCTCTGAGTTCTGAACAACCTCCCAGGTGACAGATAGCTGCCATTTGGACACCTGGGATTGTATCCACACCCATGCCAGGGACTCATTCTTCCTAGAAAACTTTAATCAGAAGTATGGGAAACAGGGCTGGAAGGAGGAAAGTAGGCCCTGGAAAGGCCCCGGGTCTCTGCCTCCACCTCATGGTCCTGGTTCCCTCCAGACTACGGGTCCAGCCTGGAGGAGGACATCCAAGCAGACACCAGCGGCTACCTGGAGAGGATCCTGGTGTGCCTTCTGCAGGTATCACAGCCAGGCTCCTGGACATCCCACAGCCCCACCCCAGGGAGCAGCCCTTGAACAGAGCTGCTGGAGTCGAGGCAGGGGCATGGGACAGCCCCAGTGGCCTGGGCTCATTGGGAGTGTCTCAGTGTGTTTGGAGGGTCCAACAGCAGAGGCCCTGCACCTGTCCTGACTCAGCCACACACGGGTACCCTGGAAATGGGAAGAGAGCAGGTCCCTCATACAGGCCCTACGCCAGGCCCCATGCTTCCTTTAGCTCACTGAATCCCCCATACCCTGTGGGGGCCCTGACTACCCCCATTGTATAGATGAGAAAACCGAGGCTTGGAGAGGATAACTGGCTTGCTGAAAGTCCCATGGCCAAAAAGCACAGAGCCCTGCCTGCCCTCTAAGCCCAGCCCTCCCCTCAGCCCCAGCTGCTCTGGTCGGCCAGCCTGGCTTACAGAGCCACCTCCCCTGTTCCTAGGGCAGCAGGGATGACGTGAGCGGCTTTGTGGACCCTGGACTGGCTCTCCAAGATGCACAGGTGAGGCTGCACCCTGTTGGCCATCCCCCTGCCATCAGACTCTGGCCCCTCTGCCCATGGGGGCTTTTTTTGACACTAGGCTGAGACTCACCCAGCTCAGGTCCCTGCAGGCCTTTGCCCTCTGTGTCTGAGGATGAAAGTGAGGGTGTTGGGGAGACTCAGGGGGAAGGAGTATGCCTTGGGGTGGGGGTGCTGAAGCTCTGTCCTGGCAGGAACAGCTCACACCTGAGGACTCTGGGGCTCAGGGTGGGGCCTGTGTGTCCAGGTCTCTGTAGGTCAGCCTGCTGGCAGGGCACTTGGTGATGAGCACTGCCTGGAGGCAGAGGGAAGCTGGGGAGGGGCAGTCCCTAGAGCAGCTTGTGGCCCACATGGAGAAGAGATTTTAAGCCAGAGCTGTGGGGGAAATAGGAGACAGCCAAGCAGAGGAGAATGCCCCAGCTCTGGGACTCTGGGGTCTGTCCATCACCTCCTTACTCTCCTTCCTTGCTGTGGTGTCCCAATGCCAGGATCTGTATGCAGCGGGCGAGAAGATCCGTGGGACTGACGAGATGAAATTTATCACCATCCTATGCACTCGCAGTGCCACTCACCTGCTGAGAGGTACTGGGAGGGAGGGCACAGTGCTGGGGCCACACGGCCTGCCCTGGCTGTGCAGCCTCTCCCTTGGTGCTGCAGCCCTGTCGTGTTTGGAGCTAAGGAGAGAACCAGGGGCCATGGGCTCTTTCCCTGGTCTCCACATAGGAGGTCAGGGTGGCTCTTGGATGTGCAGTCTCTGATCCAAGACTCGAGAAGGCGGGGGGTGGGGGGGACGTCATGCAGAGTTCCTAGTGTCCCCAAAGCAGAGCCCTCTCTCCACAGTGTTTGAGGAATACAAGAAAATCGCCAACAAGAGCATTGAGGACAGCATCAAGAGCGAGACCCATGGGTCGCTGGAGGAGGCCATGCTCACCGTGGGTAAGAGCCGGAGCTCCGTGCTTGGATTCATGCCACCGTACTGTGGCACCTCTGCGGAGCTGAGTAGCTAGATTCTTGGAGGAAGCTGTCTCTGGGCACAAGAGCCCAGGGGCTGCCCTGAGTCTGAGCTGTCCTCAAATGGGCCTGATGGGCTCCAGTGCATTTCATGTCTGCCCTTTTGTCTGCCTGCTCCAGGCCTTTGGAGCTGCGCCCAGTGCCCCAGCCCTCCTTCCCGGTCCTGCCCCACCTGACACAAAGCCTCTTATTTGGGGATAGGCAGGGCTCAAAGAAATATACCCTCCCTTGCACAATGCTAACCCTGTGGCAAGACATAAATAAATGGATGTGTGCAATGCCGCCTACAACCTCCAGGCGTTAACAGAGCTCTCCTGTTTGCCAGTGAAATGCACCCGGAACCTCCACAGCTACTTTGCGGAGAGACTCTACTATGCCATGAAGGTAACTGTCCTGTCTCCTGCGCCCTGTACAATTCTCACTACGTGGAACCAACTGCAAAGCCAAGGAGCTGAGAGCCACCACTGTCCTAGACACTGGGGTCTTCTCTTATCCCAGCCTCTTGTGGGTCAGAAAGGTTTTAGTTCTCAGAGGGCAAGCTGGGTTTGGGGAAAGAGAAGCCATGTGTCCTGAGGTGAATCCAAGCAGGTGCACTCACAGGTGTTCATTGCACTGAACTTTTACAACAGTCCTGGGAGACTTGTGTTGTCATTGCCATCCCAGAGGTGATGAAACTAAGGCTCAAGTTCAAGGTCACACAGCTGCTACGTGTCAGAGCCTTGACTTCAACCCACGCCGGCCCAATTGCCCTTTTCATTGCACCACGTGGGCTCGCTGAGTGAGCTACTGGGGATCACAGGCAGGGCTTGCAGGAAACAAGGCACCCCTGATGGACAGGTCCAGAGGGAGACTGCCACTCACAGCAGCTCAACTTTTCTACATGCTCCAGGGGTGCCACCCTTGGTTTTGTTAGTGCCCAAAAGCTGCTCTAGCTGCAGAAACAGATGCCAAAACTACTCGTATCAGGTGGAGTTTCCGCTATCTGCAACCCACCTGGAAGATAGTAAAATTAATTCCTGAGACTAAAGTCAGTGTCCACTTTCTCTGACTTACGGCTATTGACACCCCCTGACAGTAAGATCCGCACCAGAAACTCTGGCCTCTGCCCTCTGGCCACATCTGCCCAAGAAATGAGAGGGCATAGGATACCCTGGGCCACATGGCAGCCGACACCAGACTGGTCAGGGTGGAAGTGAGCAGGACAGTCCTGCTTGCGAGCCGGCAGGTAAGTCTCCAATGCCGCTGCTGCTCTTCGAGGAAGCACCGTCCCTGGAGCAGTGAGCATTTTGTGTCTAGAATCTGCTGTGGCAAACCAAACACACACTGCAGTTTGGGGCGTTTGCCATCTACTAGAGGAAGAGGCGTGGGCAGTGAGTGAGAAGAGACTAAGGCAACAAACCCCTTAAGCCACCAGAGCGTTCCTCATCCCGCCTTCCCCGCTGCAGCAGAGGCTCCTTCCTGCACCTCCCTCCCTCCAGCAGCCCCAGAACCTGACACAGATCTGTCCGTCACTACAGAGACGGCCAGGAAAGGTGAGACACGGTCGTTGATTGCCGCTTTCTCATCCAGGGAGCAGGGACACGCGATGGGACCCTGATAAGGAACATCGTTTCAAGGAGTGAGATTGACTTAAACCTCATCAAGTGTCAGTTCAAGAAGATGTATGGCCAGACCCTCAGCAGCATGATCGTGGTGAGCCCGGGGCCCACTTCTCAGGCCAGTTGGAAACGTAGACATTCCTGGGAGACCTGGATGCCATGGCCAATGCCATACGTGCCCATCCCTTCCCAGTGGGCACCGTGCACCTGTGCTTGTTATTACATGGTACATTCAGGGAACAGTAAGGAGGTCAGCATAGCTGGAGCCTGACTGGGGGGTGGGAACACAGGGACCAGGGCACAGAGGCCTCGCTACGTCTTGCCCAGAAAGCTGGTCTACATGTGATTATGGTGAAATACAGAAATACATTTCAGAAATACACTAAATCCTCACAGAAGGAGCTACATCTGAAGAGTCAATGAGAGTAAGCACTTTGTAGGCATCTGGGCCCACCACTCATGCCCAGAATTAAGTAGCCCTGACAGCAAACTGCTAAGAAGATAAATCAGATGGGCTGCAATGAATTGCCTAACCAGATTGGAGCCTGCAAAATGCAGAGTGATTATCACAGTGCTGAAACTTCAAAAGAAATAACTCATCTGGTGATGTATGCAAATTGAGGCCTTGACAGTTTCATTAGCTGAAGTCAAATCATGAAAAATACCCCCAGGTCTCCATTGGCTACTAAGTCAAGGTTCTAATTCTCCTCCAAATGTCTGTCACTGTTAAGTACATTTTCCAAGAAACACTCAGCTGACAATATGTTTAAAGACAATTCTGCTTTAAGCTGGGGCAGCAGGTCTGTGGGGGTGGAGTGGGGAGGGGCTGGAGAAATGCTTGGGTTTGCCTTAGGCTCCCTGCCCAGCTCAGCAGGGGGCAGGAGGGCGAGGCACAGGCCAGCCTGGGCCACTGTTGTGTCACCCACAGGTGGTTCCTGCTGACTCCTGTCAACCACATGTGGTTACTTATGGCATCAGAGAGATTTCTAGAGATACATGAAGCCCACCCTCTTTGAATTTTGCCTAATGTTGTCACTTAAGAAAATTCAGTTAGAATTGTGAATAAGTTGACCATTTTCTGTTTAGCATAAACCACTCTCCATAGATGTCATCAAAGCAAACAATTATTTCCAAGATGAGTATGTATGTTAAAAACTCCTGCAAAGAAATTAATAGGAAAATGTATGAAAACTCCATGGATAACCCATACATTTGGAAAAGCAGACAAAATTCACGTTTTTCTTATAAAAACCATATGACAAGGCCGGGCGCGGTGGCTCATGCCTGTAATCCTAGCTCTCTGGGAGGCCGAGGTGGGAGGATTGCTCGAGGTCAGGAGTTCGAAACCAGCCTGAGCAAGAGCGAGACCCCGTCTCTACTATAAATAGAAAGAAACTAATTGGCCAACTAATATATACAGAAAAAATTAGCCGGGCATGGTGGCTCATGCCTGTAGTCCCAGCTACTTGGGAGGCTGAGACAGAAGGATCGCTTGAGCCCAGGAGTTTGAGGTTGCTGTGAGCTAGGCTGACGCCACGGCACTCACTCTAACCTGGGCAACAAAGCGAGACTCTGTCTCAAAAAAAAAACAAAAAAAAAAACCCATATGACAAAAATTGTCTTTAAAATAGTAAAAAAAAAAAAAATTAAAATGTAGTTTAAAATCTACAAGATTTCAGGTCCAAAACAGGCAAATTTTAGTAAACTGTCAAGGAATAGATGATTCCTATGAGACCTAAACTGCTCCAAAGCACTGAAAAGTGGAGCTGGCCCAGCCTAGCACTTCCTGACTACATGCCCTTGGACCAAGTGGCCTTGGGCCTATTGTCCTCAACCACATGAAAGGGGAACAGGATGCTCTGCCCTCACCCCATCCCCCTGGCTCTCTGTGCAGACCCCAACTAGCCAATCCTAGCAGAACCTACCAGCAGCTAAGACTTGGGCTCAGCCTCGGACCTGTGGGTTCTATCACACTGAGACATGAGCCAGCTGCCAGGCAGGCCAGCTTGCCTTCTTCCTGCTACTTTGTCCTCACATCTCAGCAAGGGCATGGTGTCATCAGCATCACTTTATAATGAGCCTCAGAGAGGTGAGGGACTCGCCTCGGCCATATGGTCAGTGCAGGACAGAGCCATGTCCAGGTCTGCGTGGCCCAAAGGCCAAGCTCCACCCCATGGCCCTGCCCCCAGGTGTGGCACTGGGCACCGTGTTCCCAGCCTTGGTTCCCTGAACTGCTGTAACGGGTGTTGGATAAATAATAGATCATGCTGTATAAATGCATGGTTGGGTGCACCTGGCCAGGAGGGGAAGTGCCCTGGGGCAGCTGCGATGTTAGGGAACCTCCCACACACCCTCCTGTTTCTGAGCAGAGCTGTCTCTGTGATTCGTTTCCATATCAATCTCCCACGTAGTTGGTAAGACAGTCAAAAGCAAATACAAAGGAATAGCCTGGAAAGAGGCATGGCACAGCGTGGAGACTGAGGCTTAGGAACCCTCAGAGGGATGGGCCAGGTCCCACACAAGGAGCATGACTCATAGCAATAACAGCAGCAGCTGCTCTGAAGAGCTGGCTGATGGCACCAATGCCCTCTCCTAACCCTTGTGCCCTCCCCCTACCCTCAGGGAGACACCAGTGGTGACTACAAGAACGCCCTGCTCAGCCTGGTGGGCAGTGACCCCTGAGGCACAGAAGGACAAGAGCAACGGCCAAGAAGCCAGAGCCTCCAGGCCCTGCCTGCTGGACCTTGGCCATGGACGGGGTTGGGTGCGGGGACCACAGCCAGCCTTTCAGCCTTCTATTTCCCAGTTTCCAGGATTTTCCTGCCACTGTTTCTGACCCAGAGGGAGGGACCAGCCTGGGGCTCCTCTTTCCACCCTCCTCCCAGGTCATTTCCAGGTGTGAGGTCATTTCTCCCTCCCTAGACAGGTGCTTCCGGAGCTTGACTGGTCACAGCATCCCCTGGGCGCAGGCCATGCAGATAGTCTGGCCCCGCCCCCCTCTGCTGACACAGGTCTCAGCCAACATGCCTCTCTGTCAGTAGCCAGTGCACAGGCTGCGAGACACCCTTTGCTTTAGAGCACCCACGTGTGCATAGGCAGCTGAGAGAAGACACGTGTACCCATCCCAACCAGGATGCCATTAACCTTCACTCACCAGCCACCAAGCCTCATCTAAAAGTGTTAGGCTCTGGATGGAAGAAAAATTCTCTCCCTGTCCTAATAATGGATTACACTGCAAGTCCATGTCCTGACCTAAGGACACTGTGTCCCAGGAGGCTCAGGCTTCCCCAGGCACTGAACAGATCAGCTGCTCTTGCCCTCCGTAGCAGCATGTAGCACAGGGGGTGCAACAGGGACGGGATATCTAGAGATGCTGAGGTGCCTTTGCTATGGTTTTCAAAATAATAAAGATTTGTACTCAGATCAAAGTGTCTTTGGATTTTTAGCAGTGACCAAAGTAGGACCAATTTAATTTGTCAGAAACAGAGCTGTGGGGAGCTACCGAGGCGAAGCAATCTGTGGGAGCCCTCTTTGTGCACTGTGCCCACAGTGGCCCTGGGGGTGGCTCTTGTAGATGAGGGTAGTTTCCATTCGCCGCCTGATTTGTAGCCTAAATCCCCACATCTCCAGGTTGGAAGGGGCTTTAAAAGTGGTCTAATCCTATTCCAGCTTCCACACAGGGATATACTTGGGGTACATGGGGTATACTTGGTGTATGTGGGTGTACTTGGTGCATATTTGGTATACTTGGGGTATATTTGGTGTACTAGGCATATACTTGGTGTACATGAGGTATAATGGGTGTGCATGGGTATACTTGGTGTATGTGTGGTGTACTTGGGGTATACTTTGTGTACACTTGGCTGCCTCCAAAGATGGGAACTCATGGCCTCCTTAGACAGCCCAGTCTTTTTCCAACTGGAAACCAGTGACCAGTAGAGCTCTTCCTTTGAACCAAAATCTGCTCCATCAGGCCCACTACTCTCTGCTCTGCCATCTAGGGCCACACTATTCTTGCCCAGTAACAACATTTTGGATATCTGAAGAAGGCCTGCAAATTCCCCTAAGACATCTGTCAAAGCCCAATGTCCCCAGCCCTTCAACTGTCCTCTTGGAGCTTGGCTTGGGGCCTCTGAACATGCCCCAGTTTGCAGACTTCCTCCTAAATTGCAGCCCTGAAGGGAGACCCAGGAGCCAGGTCCACTGGGGGATGGGAGCAGTGAAGGCTCTGAACTCCCATTGATGGGAGCAGGTTCTGGGGCTGCCCTGTGTAGGCTCAGTGACCCTGACCTAGTCGCTTGCACTCTCTCTCCCCAAGCCTCAGTTTCCTTACCTTCCAATGCAGAGCGGGGTCCCAGCTATAATTGCTGCATTTTAAACCACCCCCGAGCTATCGGTGTAAAACCGTCATTTTACAATGCTCACAGATTCTGTAGGTCAGGAACTCAGCTGGGGCACTGTGGGGACGGCTTGTCTCTGCTCCAGCAGGTCTGGGACTCTCTGTTGGGAAGACCTGAAGGTTGGGGAGACTCTGTGTCAGGGGGCTGGAATCATCTGGATGCTTCTTCACTCACATGTTGGGTGCCTAGAGGAGATGGCTGGAAGGCTGGGCTCAGCTGGGACCGTCCCTGGAGCTCCTATACATGGCATCACCAGCATGGCGGCCTCAGGGTAGCGGGGCTCCTCATGCAGCAGCTCAGGGCTCCACGATCTTCCAGTGGACAAGGAGGACATGGCATGGCCTTCAAGTTAGTGTCATGAGTCATGTGACATCACCTCCACCATGCCCTATTGGTTGAAGACATCATGTGCCACCCCAACTTCAAAGAAAGGAGAGACAGATCCCATCTGTCAATGAGAAGAGTGTCAAAGAATTTGGAGGCTATTTCTCAAAATACTTAATAATTGGTGCAGCACAACCAGCTCGTCTGCTGGCTGTAGGGCTGGAACAGAGCTGGAGAGGTCCCTCTGGGACCAGGCCTCAGCCCTTGGTGCTGGATGATGGGGTGTCTGTGGGATCCCAGGGGAGGCTCCTGGGTTTTGATGGGGTAGCAGCTACATACCAACATGTCTTAGTCTGCCCAGAATGCCATAACAAAATACCATAAATGTGTGGCTTCAACAACAGACATTTATTTTTCACAGTTTTGGAGGCTAAGGAGTCAAAGGTCAAGGTGCTGCCAATTCAGTTTCAGGCAAGGGTTCTTGTAGATAGCTGCCTTCTCCACATGGCCTTTCCTCTGTGCTCGCATGGATGGTGGGAAGAGAGAATTCTCTCTCTCTTCCTCTTTTTATAAGGGCATTAACCCCATCATGAGGGCCCCACCTGTAAGGTTTTTGGGTGGCAGCGAGAAGAAAAGACAGAGAGAGAGAAAGAGTGGGGGCCAAACCACGTGACTTTATTATACACTCCTGGATGAGGTTCTGGAGTCCCAAGAGAGGGGGCTCTAGAACTCGTCACTGTTTGAAGGGGGTGATGCCTTTTATACCGTTTGGGCGGGCTAGGGACTTTTGGCGGGAAGAGCTGAGGATTTTCTATTGTCACCTTAGGTGGTCACTGAGAAATAGGAGGGGCTGGCGATATTTGTGGAATCTAGGAGCCGAAACGTTCTTATCCAGGTGGACATCTAGGTGCAGTTGTTCTCAGCGGGGCCTGGCGGTTTTGTCCTTAGCGGGTCTGGTCTCATGAGCCTTTTGTTTTTTGATCTAGGAAGCGGAGGGGGCAGGCCACCAGCCTTATACCACCCTCATGACCTCATTTAACTCAAATTACCTCCCAAAGGCCCCATCGCCAATTACTATCACACTGGTGCTTGGGGCTTCAACAACACACATTCTGTCTGTAACACGACAGTGCTGAGGCTCCCCAGTGGTTCAATAACAACTGTGCAGCAAGCACACCAGTGCACATCTCCTGGATGCCCGCCCTGAGCGATGACTCTGTTTTTTCTTTTTTTTCCTTTCTAGTTCATCTCTGGACTTCCCTGCAGTGCTGAGTCACTGTCTAACCACTAGCTGCTTTCTGCCCACACCCTTTAGAAAGGACTCAGAGAATCCCTCTGCCCTGCAATCCCTTCTGACCACTGGTTTGCTGGGCACAGGATTATTTTACAGCCCACCCCAAAACCTGATGTGACCAAACAGGAGCTTCGAGAAAAACTGCAGCCAAGGAGACTGCCCAGGAAATGTGGTCATGCCCACGTACTTGCCCCACAAAGAAATCTGAGCAGAATCGTAAAGTTTATTTATCACTCCTGGTGGAGCAGAATGGACCCTGCCCCCTGCCCCCAGCAGAGAAAGCTGGGACAGGGTGGAAGTTATGGACTCTGACTCTGGGAAGACTCTCTGGGCCTCCCAGGCTACCTGTGAAAGGAGTCCCACCTGGCCAGCTCTAGTCAGCACAGTCCGGGAAGGATCTAGCAGGAGAAGGTGGTTTCTCTCAACCCCTTTGGCACCTTCTTAACCCCAGGAGTGGTTTCAGGTTCTGACACTGCAATGACAGACAAACCCAGCAGAACTGGTCCCTGTTGAAGCCCCTCTGTGAGGGCTTGTGACCCCTGACTGCCAGTCGAGTAGAGCACTGGGTCAATGGCCAGAACGAAGCACATGTCCACCAGTATGGGTCTTATGCTTATGCCGTCAGGAGGGCAGGGCTAGCAAGTTAGACTTGGCCTATTGAGGATCACCTTCCTGAGAGTTGACTACTTGGGCAAAATCAGAATTCCCCTGGCAAAGAATAAAGGAGGGGGCAGTTGGATTTGTGGTCAGCGACCCACATTGTCTATTACCGCAGCCAGGCATTCTACCTGCAACAGGCTCTATAGGGAAGGTGAAACTTGAGCAGGATGACTCAGTGCTTATCAGGGGGACAGGATAGAGAACATTCCAGGCAGAGGGAGGAATTTAGATAGCAGTGAGAGATCTGGCCTGTACCAGACATGCCAAAGGAATGCTATGTTCTCACCAAGGGAGGAGGGAGAGTCAAAAGATGAAGATGCCAGTCAGGGACCAAGTTAGGGAGGGCTCATGCTGTAGGGCTGAGAAGCTCAAAAGATTTCCAGAGGCCAGGCGCAGTGGCTCACGCCTGTAATCTTAGCTCTCTGGGAGGCCGAGGCGGGCGGATTGCTCAAGGTAGAGCGAGACCCCGTCTCTACTATAAATAGAAAGAAATTAATTGGACAACTAATATGTATATAAAAAAATTAGCCGGGCATGGTGGCGCATGTCTGTAGTCCCGGCTACTTGGGAGGCTGAGGCAGAAGGATCTCTCGAGCCCAGGAGTTTGAGGTTGCTGTGAGCTAGGCTGACGCCATGGCACTCACTCTAGCCTGGACAACAAAGCGAGACTCTGTCTCAAAAAAAAAAAAAAAAAAAAAAAAGATTTCCAGGGATAAGAGGAGACTTTACAGGGGACAGGCAGGGGAGTGTCCTGGCTGGGCTTTCATACACTTCCCGGCAGCAGTCTGGAAGGTGAGCCTGAAGGCAGGGAACCCAGTTCGCGCAAGTGCTGCAACACTCCAGCAAAACACACGCACAGATTCCCTCAGGCTACCAGCCTAGCGCTTTGTGGTCCTGGGTTAATTTCCTAGGAGAAGGCTGGCCTCGCCCATCTTCTGTACTGGTCCTGGGAAATCTTTCTAGAAATAATGTCCCCTATCTCCCAGCGTTTTCCGAAAGACTGACGGCCCAGGGACAGCCCCGGAACCGGGATCCCGGGTCTCACCTAGCACTGCCAGCCGCGAACAGCTGCGGAGGGCGGGGCGGGAGTGGGGGAGCGCGGGGAGGAAGAGGATGGGGGTGTGGAATCTCACCTCCCCGCCCCCACCACGCCCACTGCAGCAATTGGCCAAAACAACAGTGGTCGGTGTTCAGACTCCCTCTGGGCCCCTGGAACCCGGTCGTGGTGAGGAGCCGGGTCTGTTCGCCCAGTCTCGCCCCTGTAACCGCCTGCGGGGGACCGGGAGCCCCCAGGCCGCGCCGAACTGCAGGGGATGGGGGTTGCGGGAAAGGATGGGGGTTATGGGGCGGCAGGAATGGGTCGGGGGAAGGGGTGGTGGAATGGAAAAGAAAAAGCCAGAGACAAGCAAGAGGCTCCCAAGCCAGCCACTCTGGCTGCGGCTTCCCCCTGCACGGCCAGGAAGCCGGGGCTGGGCCTTTCTCCACCTGCACTCTGCCAACACGGAGTTGGGTGTGGGGACCTAGACTCCGGGCACTGCCAGGGCTCCCGCACATCAAGGACATTCCTCAGAGGAAGGTGGCAGAACTCAGACACCTGGGGATGGAGGGTGGGACCCTGGCAGTGCCAACAGCATCCACCACGGATATGAGACTCAGCGTGGCCTCAACTCACCTTCCACCCACACCCTTGCAGAGTACAAACTGGAAGTCAACCTGAACCCCTGCCCCGAACATCCCTCCTCCCTGGTCCTGGGCCCACCTCCTCCCCACCCTTCCTCAGCCCACAGGCCACACCCACCCATCGCCTCCTCACTCCTTCCCTGGTCTCTCCCCAGTCCTGCTCTGCACCCATGGGCTTCTAGAATGTGCCCTCATCATGCCTTTCTTCTCACTTCCCTCAGCACCTCCTCAATGTGCTCACGCTCATCTCAGACCCTGTTCCAGACCTCTGGGGTTCACCTGTCCCTGTGTCCAGCTGCCTCTGCTGCTCCCTTCCCTGCTGACCGCACAGCCATGCTCAGGGGAATGTGCCTTGCCTATCCTGCCGGCAGCTGTGCCTGCCTCTCCTCTCCTCTGTCTGACATTCATTCAAGGGGAGTCACCTAGGCCCTACTAGCTGGGAGGGGCAGGCTGGACTCCATGCACACACTCACTCCCCAAGTGCACACCTCGTGCTCGTGCACACACCCTCTGTCTTCATGTACATGTGCTCCATCCTGTGCACATGGCCCCATCCACGTGCACACACACCCCACCCTGAGCACACATGCTCCACACCAAGTCCTGCCTACCTCCCCTTCACCTCTCTGCCACCCCACCCCCAGCCCCCTGATAAGTTTTCGTGGTTCCTGTGATTGTTCAGGGCCCAGGGGAAGGTGTTCCTGCAGAGAGATCCAATTTGACCCCACCTCCTGGTGCTCCAAACAGCATTCGCATTCCTCTCTCCATGCTCACCTCCAGCCCGCAGGACTGTGTTGACAGTCTGGGCTCTCCCATGGGGCCAGGGGTGAACCAGCACGCCACACTCTGCTCAGGGTCAGGAACACGGTGCCGCCCGTCACTCAGTCAGGAGAGATGTTGTGTACCCTCACACCCAAACTTTGATAAAATTTTGCTCTAATGTAACTTCTGATATGTGCAGAACCTCCACCGCCTAATATATAAACTGTGGACTTGGCTGGGCGCAGTGGCTCACATCTGTAATCCTAGCACTCTGGGAAACTGAGGCAGGAGGATCGCTTGAGCTCAGGAGTTCGAGACCAGCCTGAATAAAAGTGAGACCCCATTTCTACTAAAAATAGAAAAATTAGCCAGGTGTTGTGGTGTGCGCCTGTAGTCCCAGCTACTTGAGAGGCTGAGGCAGGAGGATCCTTTGAGACCAGGAGTTTGAGGTTGCTGTGAGCTAGCTGATGGCATGGCACTCTACTCAAGGCAACAGAGACTCTGTCTAAAAAGAAAAAAAAAAAAAAAACGAGCCAAAAAATCTGTGGACTAAAACATTGCTTTGGAGCAATCTAACAGAAACTCTGGGCCGGTGCAGTGGCTCACGCCTGTAATCCTAGCACTCTGGGAGGCCGAGGCAGGCGGACTGCTTGAGGTCAGGAGTTACAAACCAGCCTGAGCAAGAGTGAGACCCCCTCTCTACTATAAATAGAAAGAAATTAATTGGCCAACTAATATATATAGAAAAAATTAGCTGGGCAAGGTGGCGCATGCCTGTAGTCCCAGCTACTCAGGAGGCTGAGGCAGGAGGATTGCTTGAGCCCAGGAGTTTGAGGTTGCTGTGAGCTGAGCTGACTGGGCTGATGCCTGGGGACTCCCTCTAGCCTGGGCAACAAAGCGAGACTCTGTCTCAAAAAAAAAAAAAAAGAAACTCAAAAAGACTCTCCTGGGTTGCAATCTTCAGTAAGACTGAATGAAACTAACATCAGTTCTTTATAAGCCTGATTTTTTTTCTGTAGTTGACAATATTAATGTGGGCTTGCACAATCTTATTTCATTCAATGGGTTGTAATCCGTTATTGTCATTGTTTGTTTTGATGCTCAAATTGTCCCTGTTTTGGCCAATGGGAGTCCTTTCAAGCTGGCTCTTAACAGTGCAACATTTTAAGGTATGTATATTGCTAAATATTCATCTATGTTGTGTGTGGCTGTTGTTCATTCATTTCGATTGCTTGTCTTAATAGTGTGTCTTCTTTATTTTTGAGTGGTCTCATTCTGTTGTCCAGGCTAGAGTGCAGTGGCCTCATCATAGCTCACTGCAACCTCAAACTCCTGGGCTCAAGCGATCCTCGTGCCTCAGTCCCATCAGTAGCTGGGACTACAGGTACTGGCCTGATAATTTATTTATTTATTTTTAATAGAGATGGTCTCACTCTTGCTGGGGCTAGTCTGGAGCTCCTAGCCTTCAGCAATCCTCCTACCTCGGCCTCCCAAAGTGTTTACAGGCATGAGCCACCATACCCGGCCCCATTTTGTGAATATATCAGTTTATTGATTCATGCTTCTGTTGACGGGCACTTGGGTTGTTTCCAGGTTACTGCTACTGTATTTTGCTATTCTCTTTAATGTTGAATTTTGAATGTATTAAAGAATTGCATTAACATCATGTACTTCAAATCTCTTTATTCTACAAATATTGAGAACCTAGAAGCAGCACCATTTTCGGGCTCACTTTTTAAATATTGTCTTATTTGCATTTTTCACGGAGAAAGATTTAAATGATCTGTTTTCAAATACGTTTAATAAGGGCTTTTTTCTTTAAATTCCCTTTAGTTTTTTTTTTCCCTCCTATTTTTAGAGGAATATTGAAATAAGGGTCGAAAAAGCAAAATCGAAAGGTGGAAACTTTGTACTTAACTCAAACTCTTGCGAAGGTAAAGCAGCATCAGCAGCCACCAAATTGGCACAATTGGCAGCTCACGGGGACAAACTTCTCCCCCGCAGCGTCTCCCTGAGCGCAGGCGCAGGCGCAGGCGCAGGCGCAGAAATTCGTTCAGCGACCCGCTCGCTCTTCCCGCCCCGAAAACGATATCGCGAGTCTAGAATAAATCTGCTGTGGTCGCAAAAAAGGGAAGTTCTCGCGAGAGGTAATTGGTTGCTATAGTTGCGAGAAACATATCTGTGGCTGCTACAGGTAAGACAGTTAATTCCCCTCAGAAAACCCTCTCTCTTCCCGGCCTTTCTACCCGGGTTACCCGGCTTCTGCGGCCACACTACACGCCGTCACTCCAATCTTCGGCTCTCTCAGCTAAGGCCAGGATGAAAACGAGTATAGATCGAAATGCCGCTAGGTGTGGACTCTCCCACCAGCCCCAGCCTCCACCCCAGAAAAGCGGGCGTAGACCTCCCTTCCCAGCCTCACCCCGAGACCCTCCCTCAGTCAGCCCTCACTGCTTCCCTGTCCCCAGACCAGAACCAGTCACATCGCTTCCCCAGTCTAACCGTTTTCTAATTGGATTCTTCCCTTGCAGCTGCTTCTGAGTAGATGACAAGAAATGCGTGCCTTGTTGGGGACAAGAACCTCCGCCTAACTGCCCTGACCCTAACTTGTAACTAGTCCCATTCCTTACATTTATCATTCTAATACAACGTGAACGCCTTTTGTGTACAAGGCGCAGTGCCAGGCTCTCAGGGACCATACATATGATGTAAGACAGGTTCCTTGTCTTCAAGGGTGTAATTGAACTTTAAGGAAAAGCGGTGCGTGTTGCTAATGCCATTTGTGCAGTGCTTCGTACCTTACAGTTTTACTCTTTTAGGGGATGCTCACAACAAATGTGAAACAGTTCGGAAATTATAGTATTCATTTTACAGAAGGTGAAACAGGCTCAGAGAAGTTAGGCATTTGCCCAGAGTCTCATAGTTATTAAGTAGGAAAAGTGTTTAGAATCCCCATATTCATAAATAAGACAGCTTAAGTGCCACAAGAAAAGTATAAAGTGCTAAATAAGTTCAAAGGGAAGGCAAATGCTTCTGACTGGGAAGCTTTATGGACTAGGAAGTATTTTAGCTGGATCTTAAAGGGTGAGTAGGATTTGCTCAAGTAAAGATGGAGTTGGCAGGAAGGGAGAGATCATTCCAGGAGGAAGAAAAAGTGCAGAAGTTCAAAAGTGCCTAAGTGCAGGGAATCTTTGAAAGTACTAAGCTAGATGAGGGAAGTTGTCTGGCATTGCTAGATCCTAGAAGGCCTTGAATATAGTGTTACAGTTTAAATTTATTTAATAGGTGACAGGGAACAAGACAGTGATATGATCAGATCTGTATCATATCTATAATATTTTAGTAAGGTATTTATCTCTCTCCAATCTCATTTTCTCCTTATTCTCACACTGTACTCCAAATGTACTGATCTACTTGGCTTACTGGGGGATGTTTTTGTTTTTATTTTCCTCTGAACCCTTTTAAATCTGTTCCCTTTGCCTGAAATATCCTTCACTTTATTAAGGCATAATTCCAGGTCACTTCCTGCAAGGAGATTTCCCTGGTAAGCACACCCACACATGTACTCTCAAATACAGCTGGGTTCCAGCTCCAACATTTTCTTACTATAAGACCGCTGGTAAAATAACAAACTTCTCTGAAGCTCAGTTTCCTTTTCATTAAATGGAGATTTAAGGCCGGGCGCTGTGGCTCACGCCTGTAATCCTAGCTCTTGGGAGGCCGAGGCGGGCGGATTGCTCAAGGTCAGGAGTTCAAAACCAGCCTGAGCAAGAGCGAGACCCCGTCTCTACTATAAAAATAGAAAGAAATTAATTGGCCAACTGATATATATAAAAAAAAAAAAAAAAAAATTAGCCGGGCATGGTGGTGCATGCCTGTAGTCCCAGCTACTCGGGAGGCTGAGGCAGGAGGATCACTCGTGCCCAGGAGTTTGAGGTTCCTTTTGTTTGTTTGTTTGTTTGTGCTTTTGCAAGCGAGACTCTGTCTCAAAAAAAAAAAAAAAAAAAAAAAAAAAATGGAGATTTAAGAGTAACCCGGAAACCAGGTACCATGGCACATGCCTGTAATCCTCACACTCTGGGAGGCCAAGGTGTGTGGATCGCTTGAGCTCAGGAGTTTGAGACCAGCCTGAGCAAGAGTGAGACCCTGTCTCTGCTAAAAATGGAAAACTTAGCTAGGCGTCATGGTGGGGGCCTGTAGTCCCAGCTTCTCAGGAGGCTGAGGCAGGAGGATCACTTGAGCTCAGGAGTTCGAGGTTGCAGTGAGCTATGATGACCCTACTGCACTCTACCTGGGGTGAAAATCTGTCTCCAAATAAAAATCACCAGTAAGGGGGGTAAGCTAACATATGTAAAGCACACTTAGCACACAGTGCACAGTAAGCTATAATTAAAAGTTAATTTTCTCCCCCTTCATTCCTTCTATTGCTCCAACCTTCCCTCTTTTCCTCTATCGGAGCACTCATCACACAGATTATAAAACTCTTGATCTATTTACATGTCTTTCTTCCTCACTAGATTTTAAATTACTCGAGTTTACATCTTATCTCTTGTATGCTCAGCATCTACTATAGTGCCTATCATAATAAATGTTTGTTCAATGAACAGTTCTGACAGAAGTAGGTTGGATTACAGTAAGAAGAAACTGGAGTCAGACAAGTGAAAAGGTTTTTGTAACAGTCTAACAGAAGGGTAGTGAAGGCCTAATTTACATTGTATCATTGAAAAGAAAGAAGACGAATGGTACAAAAGGGCATTTCAAATGCACACTTGATAAGGAAGTTGTCAGTACCACTTAGGGTTTAAAAAAGCCCAGAGACATAGTGTTGAACAAGTGATCTGAGGCTTTTAGGTGACTGGAAAAATCAGGGAGTGAACTGAGAAGAGGCAAAATAATTATAAAGTCTGAAGGCTGTGAGGTATCATATTTACTATATCTTCTCAGTAAATGTTTGAATTGGATAGATCGGTTCTGCTTTGAATTGAGTTAGAAAATTGAGTTTTTTTAAAAAACAAATATGCAATGTACTTTTGAAATTGTATCCTTAGTGTTGTAAAATAATTGGAAAATATATCAGACTAAATAAGAAATGTGTCAAGACCTTTTCCAATATACTACCATTTTATGTGGCTGTTTTTTTCTTACTTTCAAAATATATTTTTGTAAAACTGAGAAATAATCTTTGAGAGGAGTTTTGCAGATTAAAATAAAAGTTTCCAAAGAATGCTGTGAGGGATGTGGAAGATGGGAGGTGGGGGGGATGGCATTCCTACTCTCTTTATCTTGTGATAATTTGTGCTTAATGGTTAGTTACATGTATAACAATCTTTTTATCACTAACCAGTGGCGTCATCCTTCTGACCAGCTCCCTAAAACTGCCTAATCAGCAGCCAAGGTTGGATAGGAGGAACAGAACAATGCTAGACTATGGCATTTCCTTAGGTTCTTCCCTGGTATTGGTTATGATGTAATGTGGGTACTTGTGCAGCTATGGTATGTGAGGGGACAGGTTTATTCATTCTGTTTACAGAGACCAAAGAAAAGGAGGATTTTTCGCAATTGCTGATATGGAGCAGGTGCCGTCAGTGGGCAGATTCGTGCAGATCACTGTGACAGATGGATATGATTTGGTAAAGTCATTTTTGGAAATCCACAAAGTCCCTAGTTTGGAAGCACCTGCAGGAGGAATGGAGCTTGCGTCATTCTGTACCTCCAAACCTCCTGGCTTTACATAGCAGTGGCCTTCCTCATTGTTCCTTATTGTTAGTCTATAAATAGTAATACTGTGTATCTAAAAATACCTGGCAATTTGAATACTAAATTTAACAGGAATGAAAGAAGTGGTTTTAGTTTTTCTAGATAGCAGTTCACATATAGTTTGGTGTTTGTTTTTTTTTCCTTTTTCCTAGGAGGATCTGAATTCTTCCAGTTTCCCTTGTGATTAATTTCACTTGGTGAATCTGAATAATAAAACTACACTATGAGGGAACTGTAAAAAATTAGGAGAATTCTGAAGCAGCAAAATATTCAGTATTATGAAGTTAAAACAGCTCATTCCAAAAGAGGATGTAATTAATAAGCTCCACTTTGTTTTAAAATGTATATATAAAAAAATGTATATGTGGGGGGGCACACAGACATATACATATATTCACAGCAAAACACTAGAAAATATATACATATATATAATACTTACATGTTAGTATAAAATTACATGTAATTTATTTTCTTATGTGATTTTTAAATGTTCCACAATATATTTTTATTATTAGGTAAAACACAATAAATGTTTTTTTTGAAACTCCAACATAATGGCATTTAAATGAAATGTTGTATTTAGCTGCAACTAGATTTGTTTAACGATTTTCTACCTATCCCTTTTGTATTGGTGAGGTAGCTTATTAGGAAAAAACTGGAAAATGCTATTTAGCCCAAGTCAAAGTGGTTTGCCAGATGTGTAGGAAAATTCTCTATTTGAGTATAATTATTAAGTGTTATGTTTCTGCCATCAGAAAGGTTCTAAAGGAGATACTCCAGTTACCTTCGTTCGTGCAGAATTCAATCAAGTGGTTCTGGGAGACTCTGCAAAAATTACTGTTTCTCCAGAAGGAACTGGAAAATACAACTTCACTTGCAGTTTTGAATTTAATCCTGAAGGAGGAATCACTTTAGATGACCTTGCTCGCAAACCTGTGTTCTGTAAGTCCTTGTGGTTCTGAAAATGGTAGTTATATGAGTATGTTATGAGGAGATCCTGAGGTATTTAGTGGCTGCTATTGGGACAGTTGAACACACCTTACCTCCTTTCTCTGGGAATAACTCGGTACACTTTTGAGTCCTGCCTGTCAGGACACTTTTGAGTCACCATGTCCTACTAATTTTAATCAGTTTGTACCAAACACCTTTTGACATATAACTGAGATTTGCAGCCTTTATCCCCTAAACTGAGTTGGAAGCTTTTTTTTTTTTTTTGCTTTCTGTATTTAGGGTTGCCAGATTTAGAAAAAAATACCATCAAATTTGAGACTTCCTAAAAATTTACTTGTTGTTTGTTTGAAATTCAAATTTAACTGGGCATCCTGTATTTTTATATTTATTTTTGGAGATTGGGGGGGCGATCTCTTTTTGTTGCCCAGCTAGTCTTGAACTCCTGGGCTCAAGTGGTCCTCCCGCCTCAGCCTCCTCAGTAGCTGGGATTATAGTCGTGTGCCCCTGCACCTGGCTCTTATATTTTGTCTGGAAACTATATCTGTACTTTTGTATAATCACCATACTTTATAGCGATTATTCATTTGCTTCTTTACCAGAGAAGGCACTTCTTGAAATCAGAAATGTATTTTATTTATTTCGGAACTTTTAGTGCCTAGAAATATCTGGGATATAACCGGGGCTCTGGAAGTGTCTGTTGAATAAATGAAATGGATAGTTTCTCTATCCACAGCTTTACAGTTTCCACATACACAGTATCATCCCTAATGTAATTTGTTCCTGCACCTACATACTAGACTAAGGCTTTTTTTGGTTTTAATCTATACTCTTTAATTTTTGTTTTTATTTATTTTGGGACAGAGTTTCACTTTGTTGCCTGGATATAGTGCAGTGAGTGGTGTCATCATAGCTCATTGCAACCTCTAACTCCTGGGCTCAAGCAATCCTTCTGCCTCAGCCTCCCAAGTAGCTGGGACTACAGACATGCATCACCCCACCCGACTGATTGTTTTTATAATTTTTTAGTAGCACATCTCCTGGGGTACCTGCCAAAAACCCCACAGAATCCATAATCTCAAACCCAGACAGGCAGGACCTGGGAATCTATTCAGTATTTTAGAATCTATAGTATTCTATTCCTATGCTTTTCTTTCTATAAGAATCACTTGGAGCTCTGGGATCCAGTTTTGGGGTCCCACCCCATGCCACCAAATTCACAACTGCCAGAGGAGAAGCCTAGGAAGCTGTACCTTGGAACAAGAGTCTCAGGTGGCTCCTAGGAAACACTGCTGAAGAATAGTGGTTTCTAGCTCTGTCCTGTCTAGGAATTGGTCACCCATGGAGGCTTCTATTTCACCCACACTGTCTTACTGCTTCCTTCTTCTCCCTTTTTTGTTCTTTGCTTTTCTGTTACCCAGAATAAGAGGAGTGTATCGATTGCCTTCTTCTCTACTGTGTTGGATGGGAAAGGCAGAACTGAAACATTATTTTAAACATGTTATTGAGGTCATGAGAATGAAAAGGCAATCTCTTTGTTCTCAAAAGCAAAGCAGGGGCCGGGCGTTGTGGCTCACACCATGGCACTCACTCTAGCCTGGGCAACAAAGCGAGACTCTGTTTCAAAAAAAAAAAAAAAGCCTGATAAAAATCTGCTTGCTCTAGCCAAAAGACCAGGAAAGGGGCAGCCTAGTAAGACAGAAAACTTTAGACAGTAACTGTTCTACTCTAGCTGAACACTGCAGAAAAAAACTATGGCCCTGCACTGAACCAAGTTGAATGGGAGTCTAGACTTCTACCCTCAGAAAGTTATGATGAGGTGCCTCCACACCCTAGCAGTGTAAGAGAAGATCAAGTCGGGAGCCAGGAATTTTATCTCCTATGATAATGAATCCTCCTCCTTCCTACCTGTTATGGTGTTAGTAGAAACCACATGGGGATCCAGGACTTCTACCCCAAACTGTAAGTAACAAAGTACCTCTTCACTTCCCACTGGGGTGGTGTCAGAGGAGGCCTGCTGTAGGGTCAGAACTTTCCCCATCACCCAGTTGTAATGAGTCCATACCCACTGCGGTGTCAGTGGAGACGAAGGAACCAGAGCTCCAATTCCCCCTCAGTATTACTGAGGAGGTGCCCCACTCAGATGTCAGTAGATGCTGAGATTTTGGCCCTCAACTGGCAGTGATGAGGCAGCACCTCCCCCATTCCCCTATGGGGGCAATATCAGAAAAAGCCAGCTAAAACAAGGTTTAACTAAGATCCAGAGTTTCATAACATGATAGGGAAAGTCCAGGTTTCAACTGAAAATCATAAGTCCTTCTAAGAACTGGAAGATCTCAAACTGAATTAAAAAACAGAATCAGGCTTGGCACAGTGACTCACACCTGTAATCCTAGTACTCTGGGAGGCCAAGGCAGGAGAATCGCTTGAGCTCAGGAGTTTGAGACCAGCCTGACCAAGAGTAAGACCCCATCCTACTAAAAATAGAAAAATTATACAGGTGTTGTGGCACATGCCTGTAGTACCAGCTACTTGGGAGGCTGAGGCAGGAGGATCACTTGAGCCCAAGAGTTTGATGCTGCAGTGAGCTACAGTGATGCCACTACACTCTATCCAGGATGACAGAGCAAGACTCTTGTCTCAAAAAAACAAAACAAAAATACCAAACCCACAATCATTAAATACTAGCACCAAGATGGCAGATATGTTAGAATTATAAGACAAAGATTTTAAAGAAGCCATGATAAAAATGAATGTTTCAATGAGCAATTACAAATGCTGGAAACAAATGAAAAAATTGAAAGACTCAGCAAATAAATAGAAAGTCTCAGGAAAGAAATAGAAGATATAGAAAAGAGCCAAATAGAAATTTTAGAACTGAAAAATCCAATAACTGATATGAAAAGCTCAGTGACTGGACATAACAGAAGGTTGGAGGAGACAAAAGAAACAATTATGGGACTGCAAACTAGTACAAGCTCTGTGGAAAGCAATGTGGAGATACCTCATAGAGATACAAGTAGATCTACCATTTGATCCAGCTATCCCATTACTGGGCATCTACCCAAAAGAACAAAAGACATTCTATAAAAAAGACATCTACACTAGAATGTTTATAACAGCACAACTCACAATTGCAAAGATGTGGAAACAACCCAAGTGCCCATCAATATGTGAGTGGATTAATAAAATGTGGTATATGTATACCATGGAGTTCTACTCAGCCACAAAAAACAATGGTTATCTAGCACCTCTTGTATTATCCTGGATAGAGCTGGAACCCATCCTACTAAGTTAAGTATCCCAAGAATGGAAAAACAAACTATGGTACATCCATACTACTACTCAGCAATTGAACAAACTGTTGAAACACACAATAACTTCAGTGGATCTCCAGAGAATTATGTTGAGTTAAAAAAGCCAATCCTAAAAGTTTACATAAACTGTCATGATTCCATTTATAAAATATTCTTGAAATGATGAAGAGAACAGGTTAATGGTTGGTGGCCTAGCATTAAGGAAGATTTGGGGTGTGTGAGGGAAGTAGGTATAGCTATAGAAAGGCAATATGAGAGATCTTTGTGGTGATAAAAAATGTTATGTATCTTGACAACATCAATATTAATATCCTGGTTGTAATATTTTACTGTAGTTCTGCAAGACATTACCATTGGGAAAACTAGGGTACAAGAAAGCTCTCTATATTTTATTTCTCATAACTGCATATGAATCTACAATCATCTCAAAATAAAAAGGTTATTTTAAAAATTAAATAGATTCTTAAAGGGGAAAAAAAGCATCTTTGGTAGGAGTAAGAAAGATCATGAAATCTAATACCACTTGGGTGCTCAGTGCTACGATGAAGGGGTATCTATCACTGTCTGCTCAGGAGGGAAGGAAAGTACACACATTCATGAGTCTACCTAAAGCCACCCCTCCTCTGCATGAAAGCTACAAATTAAACTGAAAACTGTGAAAACAGGAAAAAATATTTCTGGAGACTATGGGTATGCCCTGAAGTATAGAGTCTGTCATCTTTCTCTTGGCTTCTTCTTGAGATAGACTACTTAATACAGTGAACTTCTGTCCAATTCATCAAAAGGATTAAGCTATATAAAAGAAAGGTTACTGTTTGTTAGTAGGATTTTGGTAACTGTGCATAAGTCTTCTAGGATGGGAAAAGAGGGCTCAGACCACTTTTTTTTAAGCTCTGAGTATGTTAAAGAATGAAGACATGCCAAAAATAGTAAACTGTGGGGTTTTGTTTGTTTTTTGAGACAAGGTCTCACTCTGTTGCTCAGGCTAGAGTGGCATCATCATAGCTCACTGCAACCCAAACTCCTGGGCTCAAGTGATCCTCCTACTTCAGCCTCCCCAATAGCGGGGACTACAGACAGGCATATGCCACCTGGCTAATTTACAAAAATGTTTAATTATAATAGTTTTAAAGGTTCATCTTTAATAAATTGATGCTCTTGACAAACATACAAAGATTAAAAACAGATGAGTTAAACATTAAATTCCAGAAGCTAGAAAAATAGCAGTGTATCTCAAAGTGTCTTATAATTAAGGTGAGAACAAAAATGAATGAAGTGGAAAGCAAGCAGTAGAAAGGATCAACAGGCACATGCCTGTAGTATTGGGAGGCTGAGGCAGGAGGATTGCTTGAGCCTAGGAGTTTGAGGCCAGCCTGGTAATAGTGAGATACTCAGAGAGAGAGAGAGAGAGAGAGAGAGAGAGAGAGAGAGAGAGAAAAGAAGAAGAAGAAGGAGGAGGAGGAGGAGGAGGGGGAGGAGGAGGAGGAGGACGGAGAAAGAAAAGAAAGAAAAAGAAGAGAAGAAAAGAAAAAGTGCTCTTTTTAAACCTTCATTTAACTTTTGTGGTTTTTATTTTAAAATATTAAGGGGATAAAATGCTTTAGGTTACATGGATCGTTTTTATAGTGCTTGAGTCCTGGCTATAGGTGTGCCCATCATTGGTTTATTCCCCTCCCCTCCCACCCCCAGTTGCTTTCCACTGAGTTTTACTTCCCTCTGTGCACATGTGTGCTCATGAGTTAGTTCCAATTTAATAGTGATGACATGTCTTTTTCCATTCTTGAGATACTTCACTTAGGAGAATGGCCTCCAGTTCCATCCAGATTGTTGCAAAATGATTGTTGTTCTAGTTCTTAGGGGAGAATGCTTTCAACTTTTCCCCATTCAGTCTTTTTAACAGATTAACAAATAGACAAAACCCTGGCTTGATTAAGCCAAAAGAAGAGAGAGAGAGAAGGAGAAGAAGAAAGTAGCACAAACAATGCTAGAAAGAAAATAGAACATAATTACAGATATAGTTTTAAAAATTTAAAAGAATATTCTACCATTACTTTTGAAAACTTCAATTAATGGATAATTTCTTAGAATAATGAAAATGGAAAAATCTAAAGAGATGGAGGGGGAACCTATAGAGTAAAAGAGACTTAAGAGACATCAACTCATTACAATATGTGGACCTTATTTGGATCCTAATTCAAACAAACATCACAGAGTTTGAAATATACTATGGAGGCAAGGATATTATCAAAATGTATTATCTTTGCTGAAAATGCTGAAGCAGAACCTTTTTATGGGAAACACAGGGATTGAGAAATAAGCACCATGAGTGGGGGGGGGGAGGACAAATCCAGAAAATATAACATTCTACTGGTCTCGTGTCTTCAACAAATCAGTGTCATTGAGAAAAAATATGTGGAAAGGAGAGACTGTTCCAAATGAAAAGAAACATAAGAAACGTGACAACCAAATGCAACATGTGGTCTTAAAGTGGATCTTGGTTTGAACAAATCGGCTGCAAAATAAATTTGGAGATAATTGGGAAATGTTGAATATAGACTCAGCATTAAATGAATTAAGGAATTAATATATTTAATGCTATTGTCACATACTTGCTAGATGTAATAAAGCTATTGTGGTTTTATGGGAAAATGTCATATTTTGGATTTTCATACTTTGATATTTAGAGATAAAATGCCATGATGTATGTAATTTATTTTAAATTTCAGCAAACAAAGCAAATATAATGAAACTATTTTAGCAAACAACATTATATATGATGAAGCAAATGTGATAACACATTAATTATTAAATGTGGGTGATGGTTATATGGGTATTCATTATTCTATTCTTCTTTTTTGTGTATCTGAAATTTCCATAGTAAGTGTTAAGCACACAAACAGTAATGCTACAGTGAAAAACTTTGGACATACTTTGTATGCTATGGGGATTACTCCTAGGTCTGCTAAGCCCTATATTAGGCAATATGGAAGGATCTAGAACAATGTTTTTCAAACTTCAGATTATTACTTTTTAGTCATTCCTAAAATCAATTGAGGAGGATTATGGCGAGTAATTTCTATATGAAATAGAATAGAAAATAGCTAAGGATTTGATCTAGTGAGGATTACTATTACATGACTTTGTTATCATATAATCATATATATATCAGTTACTTTTATACATATGCATGTATATGATTATGATGTAAAATACATTTCTTATTATAACTTTCAGGCAAAAAGTTTAGAAGTCACTGAAGTGGTCCAGTATTTTCCACCAGAAGTTATTGATGTTGGTGCCTTCTCTGGTTTCAAGTTCATTTTTCTTAAATATCTTTGACAATACTTTCTTTGTTTGTTGCACCTTGGTTATCTGATAGATGAATTGGAAATGTTCTCATTTTCTTTGTTTTGATTTATCTAGTAACTGTGACTGAAGTTTTACCAAAAGAAAGGAGACAAAAAGAGGAGAAGACCTTAATTCTTGGTCAAGCTGTGGTGGACCTTCTTCCCTTATTAGCAGGTCAGGTATATAATTTTCCCAAGAGCAGAAATAGCAAAGCTTATAAAATTTAGCTCCAGAGAAGTACAAAAATGAACCTCAATTAATTTTAGGGATTTGAGGGAAAAAATGAGAGCATTTATATCTGTTAAGTTCTTTTTGTGACAGAGTCGCACTCTGTTACCCGGGATACAGTGCTGTGGTGTCAGCTTAGTTCACAGCAACCTCAAACTCCTGGGCTCAAGTGATCCTAATGCCTCAGCCTCCTGAGTAGCTGGGACTACAGGCATGTGCCACCATGCCTGACTAATTTTTTCTACATATATTTTTAGTTGTCCAGCTAATTTATTTCTATTTTTTTTTAGAAGAGATGGGGTCTCACTCTTGCTCAGCCTGGTCTCGAACTCCTGAGCTCAAACCATCCACCCACCTTGGCCTCCCAGAGTGTTAGAATTACAGGTGTGAGCCACCACACCCAGCCAATCTGTTGAGTTCTAACTTAACCTCTTCTTTGGCTCAAGTTGACCTTCTTTTTGCAGGAGAGTGTTCATTTGAAACAACAGTCCCATTGCATCCTGTGCAGGGCTCACCTTTAGAAACTCCTCGATTGGGTGCTAAGGTAATCTCAACATTTCAGCCTGCCATTCAATCCAACAAGTCTTTCTGTTATTAAGGTTCAGTTGAGTTGAGTCTGATTCAGTAGGCACCTTCTTTTCACAGTACACATAGTGTTAGATTCTGAGAAACAAAGATGAGTTAGGCAGAGTCCTACCTTCGAAAAGCCCACAATCTACATATCATGGATTATAACCCAGTGTGATTAAATGATGGAGTGGGGCACATGGGCACAGAGCAGTTATCAGTTACTTTGCCCAAGGGTAGATGTAGGGAAGGCTTAATGGAAATGGCTCTTGAACTATGTCCTGATAGATCAAATAGTATATGAAAGCACCTAATATACTTTCCAGCATGGTAGCCTGCCTCTGATTGAAGACTTATTTAACAGTTTCAGCCCAGACCCTTCTCCTGAATCCCAGATTGTCAGACTTTACAAGCGCCTACTAGATTTCTCTATAGTGATATCCCGTAGGCACCTAAAACTCAATGTTCCAAAACTGAACTTAGTATCTTCCCCTAAACCTACTCTTGCTTTTATCTTTGTTATTTTGACTAGTGGCATCACTCATCCATGAAAGCACAGACCATAGAACCAAAATTACATCCATGACTGCTCGCTCCCACCCTAGTAGCTACATCCAATCCCCAAATCCTCCTTTCACTAAATCCAGCCTTTTCTTTCTTCTAAGAGTCTGTAAACTCTTCTTCTTACTTCATTCCTATTCTTTATTGCCTCATCATCGCTCACCTGGATTTTTACAAGTATCCTTGTCCCTACCCTTGTCTCCCTCCAGTTCAACCTTCCCACAACTTGCACAGTGACTTAAAAGTGAATTTGATCATATCTCTTCCCTTACTAAGTTCATGGTTTCACCTACTGCTTACATATTGGGTTCAAATTTCTTAGCAGGCATATAATATCTTTATAATGAGAGCTTCCTGCTCTAACCTCATTTCCCAGAACTCCTCTCCTTATACTTTATGTTCTAGAATCCTGAACTACTTACTTATATCTGAACTGAATATACTATACCGTTTTAGTCTCCCTTTACATAAACTATTCTTTGCATACACAATTATTTTCTCTTTCCTTGCTCTGCTTGTCCATGTTGTAAACTCCTATTCCTCCTGTAAAATAGTCAACTCAGATGTTGCCATCTCTTACTCTTTCCCAGCCTAATTAATAATTATTCACTTCCTCCTTGATTGCAGTATTTTGTACAGGTCTCTATTATAGCACTTATCATAAATCATGCGACTATAACATGAACTCTGTGATGAAAGGGACCATGCCTCCTTCATCTTTATATCCCTAGTGCTGTAGTAAAGTGCCTAGCATATAATTAGCAATCAACACACATTTGATATTACTTTATTTAATTTTGAGACAGGGTCTTGCTCTGTCATGTAGGCTGGAGTACAGTGGCCTGATCATAGCTTACTGCAACCTTGAACTCCTGGGCTCAAGCAATCCTCCTACTTCAACCTCCCAAAGTGTTGGAATTATAGGCATGAGCCACTGCACCCAGCCCAGTACATTTCGTTCAAGTGATCCCCCTGCCTCAGCCTCCTTTTTTTTTTCCCATTTTTTAAATTTCAGCATATTATGGGGCTACAAATGTTAAGGTTATGTATATTGCCCATGCCCCTCTTCCCCCAACCTCAGCCTCCTGAGTAGCTAGGACTACAGGTGTGTGCCATTACACCTGGCTAATTTTTTTTTTTTTTTTATAGAGACAGGATCTCACTATGTTGCCCAAGCTGGTTTTGAATTCCTGGCCTCAAGTGATTCTCCCGCCTTGGCCTACAATACACGTTTTACACCTCCTTTGTATTGTATCCTGTGTGAAAACATCAGTTATACGTGTCTGTACCTATTTATATGAATATATACATATATATTTGAAAAATATTTTCTTATTACGAGGCATTACATTTAAATCATAAAAATAATCATAAAATATAGACTATCAAAGCACCTAATCTCACTTATTCATGTACAACCACTATTGACATTTCAATATAGAATCTTCTAATTCTTCTTCTATATGTATTTGTATACACACTTTACTTCAGTATGGTAGAGTGGGAAGTGTTCTAGTTTAACAATAGGTTTTCTTTTTGGCTTGATCTCTAGCTCATAGGACCTAGAGAAAATTATTTCAACCTTTATGGAAATAATTAAGCTTGGTCTTCTTATCTTAAACAGTGGTTTGAGATTCAAATGAGATAATTCAAAAGAAGGAGGGACTTCGGCAATCTTCAAAATGCTACATAATTTTATTCTTTTACAGCAGTGCAGTCTTGAAGTTAAAGTATTTGCGACAGAGATCTTACTGACCCCGGTCCAGATGGCAGGGGGCAATCTACTGAAGGTCACATTGGAGGCTGCCTACTCTGTGCCTGAAACCTTTGTTCCAACAGGGACTGTGCAGAACTACATGGTTGGCCTGCAAGTTCCATCATTTGGAGAGGTACAGCCCTACTGCCAGATTTTATGTAGATTCAAACATGTCTACACTCATATGGCCATCTCTTCCTCACCTGCTAAGATTTCATTCAAAGCATTGCTCTGCTAATGGCTGAGATTTATTTTAAGCTTGAAAAATAAAGTTTATTTCTGTTTTATGTAAAGATTTTTTTGTTTATAATTTACATATTATATATAATGCGTTAGATATAATTTATATTGATAAATATATATTTATTATAGACAATATGTAAGACATTTAAAATGGCCAATTTTTGGTATGTTTTGACAGATTATTTTTATGCATATACAAGGGGACTTTAAAAAGTTCATGGAATAATAGAATTAAAAGATAAAAATAACAAATATAAACTTTATTTCTCAACATAAGCTCTATCAAGGTCAAGACAATTTTGTAAGCCATTTAGTCCATCCCCAAAGAACTGAAGGTCCTGGGTATTTAACCATGCCAATACAGTCTTTTGTACATTATTAATTAAAGAAAAATGGGTGCCCTTTACAGATTTATTAAGATTTAGGAAGTAAAGTTAGAAGGAGGAGCCAAATCAGAACTGAAAAGTGGATGGCTAATGATTTCCCATCAAAACTGTAACAAAATTGCCCTTGTTTGATGAGAGTGAATAAGCAAGAGCATTGTCAGGGTAGAGAAGGACTCTCTGGTGAAGGTTTCCTGGGTGTTTTTCTGCCAAAGCTTTGGCTAACTTTCTCAAAACACTCTCATAATAAGCAGATGTTACTGTTCTTTGGCCATCCAGAAAGTCTACAACCAAATTGCTTGAGCATCCCCCAAAACTGTTGCCATGACTTTTGCTGGACCCCTTCCAACTCTTCATAGCCATTGCTTTGATTGCTTTGTCCTTGGGATTACACTGGTAAAGCCATGTTTCATCTCCTGCTACAATTCATCAAGAAATGCTTCAGGATCTTGATCCCACTTGTTTAAAATTTCCATTGAAAGCTCTGCTTTTGCCTAAGCTGCTCTGGGCATAACTGTTTTGGCACCCATTGGATGTCAAGTTTGCTTAGCTCTAATTTTTCTATCAGAATTGTGTAAGCTGAACCAGTTGAGATGTCTGTGGTATTGACTATTGTTTCTACTGTTAATGATTGGTTCTCTTCATTTCAGGCACAAATAGGATTAATTTTTTCCTTGAAAATTGATGTGAATGGTCTGGTGCTGTGGGCTTCCTCTTCAACATTGCTTCAGCCCTTCTTTTTTATGTATTTATTTTGTTTTGGTTTTCAGAGATAGGTTTTCACTCTATTGCCCAGGCTGGAGTGCAGTAGTGTCATCACAGCTCACTGTAACCTTCAACTCCTAGGCTCAAGTGATCCTCCTGCCTCCCGAGTAGCTGGAACTATAGGAACATTCCACCACACCGAGCTAATTTTTCTATTTTTTTGTAGAAACGGGGTCTCGCTCTTGCTCAAGCTGGTCTCAAACTCCTGGCCTTAGACAATTCTCCTGCCTTGGCCTCCCAAAGTGCTAGGATTATAGGTGTGAGCCATATAGCACCTGGCTGTGTCATTCTTTTTTAAAATGAGTTTACAACTGATGATTTTTGAGAGGCATTGTCCCCAAAAACTTTTTGTAAGGCATCAGTGATTTCACTGTTTTTTTACTCAAGCTTTACCATAAATTTAATGTTTGTTCTTGCTTAAATTTTAGCAGAATTCATGCTGTTCTGATAGGGACTCTTTTCAAATTGATCTCTTATACATTTTAGTGCCTCAAACTCTAGATTCTGTTCAGACATGTTATTACAAGTTAGTATGAGTTTATTTTGGTACAAAAAATTTTTGAAATGCATGCATAGTTTTTTCATAATATGCATTTTCCATGAACTGTTTGAAGTATCCCTGTATTTTGTGGATTTTGCACCATGTACTTTACTATACAAAGCTTTCTCTTCATTCTAGGTTATTTTTGTAGGCCAAATTTCTAGATACAAGAATGATTGGATATGGGTTTTTTGAGGCTTTTTTTTTCTTTTTTTTGAGACAGAGTCTCACTCTATTGCCTGGGCTAGAATGCAGTGGCATCATCATAGTTCACTGTAACCTCAAATTCCTGGGTTTCAAGTGATCCTCCTGCTTCAGCCTTCCAAGTAGCTAGGATTGCAGGCATGTACCACCACATCCACCTAATTTTAAAAAGAAATATTTTCTAGAGGCCGGGTTCTATGTTGCTTAGGTTGGACTCAAACTCCTGGCCTCAGTGATCCTCCTCAGCTTTCCAAAGTGCTGGTATTACAGGCATGCCACCATGCCCAGCCATTTTTTGAGGCTCTGATAGAGATTTATAAGTTATTTACTAAAGCCTTGTAATCAACTAACACTCCCACATGTCTTATTTTCAGGGCCATGTATGTGAATGACCCCCTAACTTTATATAGGAACTGTTCAGTTTGCTCTGAATTTAGGAGGTTCCTGGGACACAGGACTTTCAGTACTAAAACTGGGACAGCCCCAGGCAAATTGGGTGACTGATCACCCTTCCAAAGAACAACCTACATAACTATCAGTAAAAAAAAAAAAAAAAATAGTAAGTTCGAGCTGGGGCACCAGCTTTTTCCTGCCTTCAATCTAGAACTGAAATGTCAGCTCTTTCTGTGCCTCAAGCCTGCTGGTCTTTGGATTGGAATTTATACCATCAGCTCTCCCGGATCTCCAGTTTACCAAATCACTTTTCAGATTGTGGGACTTGTTAGCTTCCAAAATCACATGAACCAATTCCTTATAATCTCTCTCTCTCTTTCTCTCATATCTCTCTCTCTCTCTCTCAAAAAAAAAAAAAAATTAGCCAGATGTGGTGGCAAGTGCCTGTAGTCCCAGCTACTTGGGAGGCTGAGGCAAATCGATCATCTAAGCCCAGGAGGTCAAGGTTACAGAGAGCTTTGTGCCACTGCACTCCAGCTTGGGTGACAAAGTGAGACCTCATCTTAAAAAAAAAATAAGGCTAACATCTATTGATCTTGACTTTTTAATAATGGCCATTCTGACAGGGGTAAGGTAGTATCCCATTGTGGTTTTAATTTGCATTTCTCTGATGATTAATGATATTGAGCATTTTTTCATATATTTGTTCATCATTTGTATATCTTCTTTGGAAAAATGTTTGTTCATGTTATTTGTCTACTTTTTATTAGGGTTATTTGGTTTTTTTCTTGCTGAATTATTTGAGTTCCTTATAGATTCTGGATATTAGTCCTTTGTCTAAACCACAATTTGTAAATACTTTCTCCCATTCTGTAGGTTGTCTATTTACTTTGTTTATTATTTCTTTTGCTATGCAGAAGCTTTTAAATTAGGTCCTATTTTTGTCATTGTTGCTGTTGTTGCATTTGCATTTGGAGTCTTATTCATAATTCTTTGCCTAGGTGAATCTACAGATGCCATAGTAACCAAAACAGCATGGTACTAGTATAAAAGTAGACACATAGATCAATGGAATGGAATAGAGAACCTGAAATAAAGCCATATACTTATAACCAACTGATCTTTGACAAAATAGACAAGAGCAACAAAAGCATTCACTGGGGAAAGAGCACCCTATTCAATAAATTGTGCTGGGGCCAGGCGTGGTGGCTCACACCTGTAATCCTAGTACTCTGGGAGGCTGAGGTGGAAGGATTGTTTGAGCTCAGGAGTTTGAGACCAGCCTGAGTAAGAGTGAGACTCCATCTCTACTAAAAAAATAGAAAGAAAGTAGCTGGACAACTAAAAGTATATATATAAAAAATTAGCTAGGCATTGTGGTGTGTACTTGTAGTCCCAGCTACTCGGGAGGCTAAGGCAGGAGGATCACTTGAGCCCAGGAGTTTGAGGTTGCTATGAGCTAGGCTGACACCACGGCACTCTAGCCTGGGAAACAGAGTAAGACTCTGTCTCAAATAAATAAATAAATAGTGCTAGGAAAATTGGATAGCCATATTCAGAAGAATGAAACTGGATCCCCATCTCTCACCATATACAAAAATTAACTAAAGATGGATTAAAGACTTAAGTGTAAGACATAAAATCATAAAAATTCTGGAAGAAAACTTAGCATGTTTTTATTTAAATGTTGGATTTTCTAATTTCTTCTTCTGTAAATTGTCTATTTATATCTTTTATCAATTTTTATTATAAGTATAGCTTATATAAATTATAAGATATGAAAATGCCTATATTTTTATCCCCTTGTGAGATTTTAGTTTTTTTTAAAGGATAATTTTTAAACAGGTGTAATCATGACTCCATATAAACATAAATGACAGGGAGATTTTGGAGAAGATGGCGGATGAGAAACACCGCCAGACAGAGTGTCTCTGCAGAAAAGACAGATTCTAGCAGAAATTAGAAAAAAGAAGCAAGAAGACGAGCCTACATTGGATGAGGGTCAGAAGGATGAGTACCTGAGACCATGGGAGACTCCACAGGAGGAGGTCACGGAGGAGAACTGGAAGCTGAGACCCCCAGAGCAGCCCGGAGACCAGTGGGAAGTGTAGGTGGATCGGCTGTTTCCCCTCCCCTGCATCCCGGACTGCTGGTGGGCTCCCCAGCGAGTAGAGAGACCTGCGGACACCAGCCCAGTGACGGCTGCTGCCAGTGAGCAGAACAAGAGCTGATAACAGGACATAAAAACAACAGCGAAGCCTGTTCCTCCAAGCAAGCGCCACCCACTGACAGGGAGAGCATCCTGCACACCCTTTTCACAACACCTACTGACTCATTATACAGAGAGTGGTCGAATCTCACCCACAGACACGACCTACTAGCTCAGAAACTAAACAAGGCGTGTGAATACCCAAACAAAAACCTAAAGAAAAGAAACAACAACTGATCGACATGGGAAGAATTAGCGAAGGAACTCAGGAAATATGAAGAACCAAATGGAAAACACACCCCCAAAGAGGGGCCCCAGCCCCCTAGAAATGGGTACCAACCAAAATGAGGCAACCAAAATGACAAAAGAGGAATTTCGTATGTGGATCATAAGAA